CTGGCCAGAGGGTTTAGGAGGATTTGGACTCTCCTTGGGAGTCGCTGTGATATGGCCTTCAATTATAGTTGACTTCCCTTCTTGGATCTCCACCACTTCCCTGAACCCACGAGCTGGAAGTGGAGACCAGCTGGTCACTGCTGGCTCGCTAGGAGCCCATGGTGAACCTGCCCAAAGCTGGACACCAGAGCCTTGAAGCCACCATCTTGAAAAAACAACCCTGACCTCTACAATGATTGATTTTCAAATGTTGAATCAGCTTTGAAAACTATAATAAACCCAAGTGTGGTGTGTAATTATTCGTAATACATTTCTGGATTTGATTTGCTTGTATTTTGGGAGGAGGGTATTCCATCTCTGTGAGATACATTGATCTATAGTTTTAATTTCTAATGTTTTAATCTAGATTGGTTATTAGGGTAATGCTGGATTCATAGGATGGGTTAGGAAAGGTTCCCTCTGCTTCTATTTTCTGGAAGAGATAGGGATCTTCTAGAATAAAAAAGTTTTTGTTTTTTTTTTCCTCTAGATGAGGTCTTGCTCTGTCACCCAGGCTGGGGTTCAGTGGTACGATCTTGGCCTACTGCAACCTCTACCTCCTGGGTTCAAGTGATTCTCCTGCCTCAGCCTTCCGGGTAGCTGAAGTTACAGGCATGCGCCACCAAGCCTGGCTAATTTTTGTATTTTTAGTAGAGACAGGGTTTCACTACGTTGGCCAGGCTGCTCTTGAACTCCTGACCTCAGGTGATCCACCCTCCTCAGACTCCCAAATTGATAGGATTACAGACAGGAGCCACCAAAAACAGTTTGAACTTTGGCGAAGTTTGGTTTATTATTTTTTCTTTTATGGATTGTGGTTTTGGTGTCATGTCTAAAAACCCTTTGCCAAGCACTAGATCCCCAAATCAATCTTCTCCTGTATTTTCTTCTAACATTTTTATATTTAAATTTGTAATTCATTTTGAATTTTTTTTTCATATAAAGTGTGAGGTTTTAGGTTGAGGTTAATTTTTTTTGGCTATGAATGTCCAGTTGTTCCAGTGCCATTTGTTGAAAAGTCTATTCTCCATTGAATTGTGTTTACAAAAATCCAGTTTAGGGTATTTGTGTTGTTCTCTTTTTGGGTTCTCGGTTTTCTTCTATTGATCTGTGTGTCTACTCTTCCATCAATACCCTGTCTCAAGTATTACAGTGATCAAATACTAAGTAGTAAGTTTAATACCAGGTAGAGTGATCCCTCTTACTTGGTTCTAGTTTCTTTGCCTTATCATATACATTATAGGATAAGTTGTCTACATCTACAAAAATATCTGATTGGGATTTTGATAGGAATTGTGTTAAATCTATAGACCATTTTGGGGAAGATTGCCATCTCTGCTATGTAGAGCCTTCCAGCCTGTGAACGTGCTGTGTCTCCCCATTGATCTAGATCTTTGATTTTTCTTCCATTGGCATTTTGTAGTTTTCAGTGTACAGATGTTATACTTGTTTTGTTGGATTTACGTTAGACACCTCATTTTTGGGGTAGTGCTGATAAATGCTATTATGTTTTTTGTTTTTGTTTTTGTTTTTGTTTTTGAGATGGAGTTTCGCCCTTGTTACCCAGGCTGGAGTGCAATGGCGTGATCTCGGCTCACCGCAACCTCCGCCTCCTGGGCTCAGGCAATTCTCCTGCCTCAGCCTCCTGAGGAGCTGGGATTACAGGTACGAGCCACCACGCCCAGCTAATTTTTAGTATTTTTAGTAGAGACGGGGTTTCACCATGTTGACCAGGATGGTCTCGATCTCTTGACCTCGTGATCCACCCCCCTCGGCCTCCCAAAGTGCTGGGATGACAGGCTTGAGCCACCGCGCCCGGCCTGCTATTATGTTTTTAATTTCAGTTTCCACATGGTCGCTCCTAATCTGTAGGAATACAATGGATTTTTGTGTGTTCATCTTGTATCTTTCAATCCTCCTGGACTCACTTATTAGTTATATAATTTTTTTTTTTTTTTTGCTCTGTCCCCCAGGCTGTAGTGCAGTGGCTCGATCTTGGCTCACCACAACCTCTCCCTCCCGGGTTCAAGTGATTCTCCTGCCCCAGCCTCCTGAGTAGCTGGGACTACAGGTGCACACTGCCATGCCCAGGTAATTTTTTGTATTTTAGTAGAGATGGGATTTCACCATGTTTCCCAGGCTGGTCTCGAACTCCTGAGCTCAGGCAATCTACCCGCCTCAGCCTCCGAAAGTGCTAGGATTACAGGTATGAGCCACCACGTCCAGCCGTATAGTTATTTTTATAGATTCCTTTGCATTTCCTACATAGAAAACCATGGCCTTGTCAAATAGGGATGATTTTATTTCTTCCTTACCAGTCTCTCTGCTTTTTACTTCCTTTTCTTGCCTTGTTGTACTGGACAGAATGTTTGATTATTTTTTGAGAACCAACAATTATTTACTTATTTTAAAAATCAGTTTTCACTTAAATATAAAACATTCTATTGCTTAATTATAGCAAATAGCAATAGCAAAGGTTTACTACATGTCAGGCATTGATATAAGTGCTTTATATTTGTTAAGTCATTTAATCTCATGACTTTGACAGTAGGTGTCATTATCAAGCCCATTTTACAGATGTGGAAACTAAGACACAGAGCGGTTTATGTAAGTTTCCCAAGGTCACATATTGTGTAAGTGACAAAACTGGGATTTGGACTTGGGTGGTTTGACTCCATAGATTGGGCTTCTACTACATCCACTGTGCAAAAAGCCTAGCATCCATTGTTGCTGAGCCTGTTCTATGCTTCAGTGGAAGAACTAGATGGGGAGAGGAGTTAAGAGAGAAATGGAGAGGATGCTGGAGCATGAGAGACACAAAGCTTGAGCAAGATAATTTATGAGACCTGGGATACAAAAAGAAAAGGGGAAAGATCACTGAGAATATAAGAATCAGGATGTGCCAGAAGCAGCAGGTCACAGAAAGCGTATAAGGGACAACAGCCCACATCACTGCCCATTCAGGCCTTGGCTGCCTAATCCTGGGTCCTGACCTGCTGTCTAGACATTTTGTCTTCCCTCCTACACTATGCCATGTGACCTGACTGCCTGGGCTGCTGGCTGTAGATGTGACATCCCTCCCAAAACTTCTCACACACTGAAGGATTTCAGTATCTACAGTTTCCTACTCTTAGCTCAGCGTCATTATTATTCTCTACTTCTTCTACACTTCTGTGCTGGGTTTTAGTAAATCTCTTTTATAGTCCAGCTCTCAGGGGAGGATGCTAAGAAGCTCTGGCTTGGTAACTTTGCCGTGTGCTTCCTCCAGCCCCTACTGTCATCTTTGATCTGATAGAAGCTCAATTAGTGTAGCTTTAGAACCTGGAATTAATATTACCAACTCCTAGAGTGCCAAGGACCACTTAGAAGGTGGACAAGAAGATTGATGTATACCTGAGAACAGGAGGAAGAGGCTGAGTCAGAAAAGAGGTAGTCAAGGTGATCAGAAGCAGCTGGGAATAATGTGCAAATGTTCCCCAAAGTCCACAGGGTGAGGTTAAAAATCTAAGGCGAGTCTGAGGCGGGCAGATCACTTGAGGTCAGGAGTCGGAGACCAGCCTGGCCAACATGGTGAAACCCCATCTCTACTAAAAACAAAAACAAAAAAACAAAAAAAAATATTAGCCAGGTGTGGTGACACGCACCTGTGGTTCTAGCTATTTGGGAGGCTGAAGCGGGAGAATCGCTTGAACCCAGAAGGCGGAGGCTGCAGTGAGCCAAGATCACGCCACTGCACTTCAGCCTGGGTGACAGTGAGACTCTGTCTCAAAAAAAAAAAAAAAAAAAAAAAAAACCCACAAAAAACAAAAGAACTAGTGCAAGTTAGGAGTGTCATGGAATACCCACAGGCTGAAGCAGTTGGTCACTGAACAAATAATGCTTGAATTCAGTAGAAGTAAGTTGAATGGTGACTCCCTTGGCATCTGAGGGCAATGCCACCTTTCAAGTGTAACTAAAGAGAAAACACCACTGAATACTCATTTTGAAGAGAAGATAATTGAAGATGAAAAAGCATATGGTGTAGGTTTTCTTGAGACAGGGTCTTATCACCCAGGCTGGAGTGCAGTGGTGTGATCTCAGCTCACTGCAGCCCTGACCTCCTGGCTCAGGCAATCCTCCTACCTCAGCCTCCTGAGTAGCTGGAACTACAGGTGCACACAACCATACCGGGCTAATTTTTGCTTATTTTTCAAAGAAACAGGGTTTCACTGTGTTGCCCAGATTGGTCTTGAACTCCTGGGCTCAAGCAATCCTCCCACCTCAGCCTCCCAAGTACCAGATTCATTTCTTTTTTTCTTTTTTTTTGAGATGGAGTTTCGTTCTCGTTAACCAGGATGGAGTGCAATGGCATGATCTTGGCTCACCGCAACCTCCGTCTCCTGGGTTCAGGCAATTCTCCTGCCTCAGACTCCTGAGTAGCTGGTATTACAGGCATGTGCCACCCTGCCCAGCTAATTTTTTGTATTTTTAGTAGAGATGGGGTTTCACCATGCTGACTAGGATGGCCTCGATCTTGTGACCTCGTGATCCACCTGCCTCGGACTCCCAAAGTGCTGGGATTACAGGCTTGAGCTACTGCGCCCGGCTCTCTCTTTCTCTTTTTAAGATGGAGTCTCACTCTGCCACCCATGCTGGAATGCAGTGGAATGATGTTGGTTTACTGCAACCTCTGCCTCCCGGGGTCAAGCGATTCTCCTGCCTCAGCCTCCCCAGTAGCTGGGACTACAGGCATGTGCCACTACGCCCAGCTAATTTTTGTATTTCTAGTGGAGACAGTGTTTCACCATATTGGGCAGGCTGGTCTTGAACTCCTGACCTCAAGAGAACCTCCTGCCTCGGCCTCCCAAAGTGCTGGGATTGCAGGTGTGAGCCACTGCGCCCATTCTCCAAGACCACCAGTTCCATTCTCTCTGTGAATCTTAATGGTGACTTGATCAATATGAATTTATTGGTTGATTTAGGGACCAGTGACTTTCAAGGATGTGGCTGTGGTTTTCACTGAGGCAGAGTGGAAGAGGCTGAGCCTTGAGCAGAGGAACCTGTACAAAGAAATGATGCTGGAAAATCTTAGGAATCTGGTCTCATTGGGTAAGGACATGTTCTCTTCCTTCATCTTTCCATTCAAGTATTTCCTGACTATATTCAGTGTGCCAGCAATGTTTTAAATCTCTTAAAACATATCAGTGAATAGAATGATAAAACATTTCTTCTGCCATGGAGCTTACATTCTCGTATAGGCAGACTGACAATATACAATAAGAAACATATCTAGGTAAATTATATATGTCAAAGGATAATAAATGCTACATGGCTTTTATATATATATATATATATATATATATATATATATATATATATGATATCTATAAATATAAGTACAGGAGATTAAGAAAGATCTGAAGGGCCCGGGTATGGAGGCAACTGGCTGAACTTTTAAATTGTTTGATCAGGGTAGGCCTCTATGAGGAAGTACATTTGAGCAAAGGCTTGAAGGAGGTAAGGAGGTTGGATATGTGGGTCTGTTGGGAAACTGCTCCAGGCAGGGGGAAAGCAGTGCTAAGGCCCTGGAGGCAGGAGCATACCTAGTCCTTTGCAGGAAAAGCAAGGAGGCCAAGGTGGTTGGAGAACAGAGAAGAAGGAGAAGAGTTGTGAGAGATGCCGTCTATGACCTAGGAGTTGGAAATGTTTAAGGTTTAAAGTACAAATCTGTCAGTTTGATGTTTATAGATTACTGGATATTATATATCATGGTGTTTTTTTTTTAAGAGACGGGATTTCTCCTTGTTGGTCAGGCTGGTCTAGAACTTCTGACCTCAGATGATCTGCCCGCCTTGGCCTCCCAAAGTATTGGGATTACAGGCATGCATACATCATGTTTTTATTCACTTATTTAAAAACTAAAATTGATTATTAGGTTGGCAAGGACAAAAGTATTCTAGATATTCCTGAGTTCTTGATGAGAGTCATATTTTCAGAGTTAAAAATTCCTGTCAGCTGCTTTCTCAAGGCTTATCTTCATCTGGCATAGCTATGAATTAAATAGCTCTGATTTGTTCTCTTTGCATCTACTTAGACCTATATTGCACTGCTTCTCTCTAATTTGAATTGGCCTCATTTCAATCCATTTGGCTTCTAACTCAGTTGCCTACTTCTATTTCAGTGTAGACTCATCCATTTAAGTTTGCTTTCAGTTGGCCAATCTGATTTGGTCTTGTTTTTATCTTGTTTCCTCTGGTCTTGTTATTGTCTATCTTTATGCTCATCCATTTTGTTGATTCTGAAGAATATCTTAAAATTGTCTTAAAATAGTCTGATTCAAACTAATTTTGATGCTGAAACTTTGGACCTCATTGGATCCATTTCAGGTGTTAAGCTGTTTTCGTCCTTGATTCACCTTCCCTTTCTTTCTACATCACTTTTTCTTTTATTGCTGAATTATTTAAAGCAAATCTCAAATATCATGACATACCACTCCTGTTATATCACAGTGCAACTCCAATAAATAAAGACATTTTCTTTTTTTCTTCTTTGTTTTTTTTTGAGATGGAGTTTCACTCTTGTTGCCCAAGCTGGAGTGCAATGGCACGATCTTGGCTCACCGCAACCTCTGTCTCCTGGATTCAAGCAGTTATTCCACATCAGCCTCCCAATAGCTGGGATTGTAGTTGTGCACCACTACACCCAGCTAGTTTTTTGTGTTTTTAGTAGAAATGGGGTTTTACCATGTTAGCCAGCCTGGTCTTGAACTTCTGACCTCAAGTGAACTGCCTGCCTCAGCCTCCCAAAGTGCTGGGATTATAGGCATGAGTCACCACGTCAGCCAGGACATTTTCTTATATAACCATAGTATCATGACCAGAACTCACAAAGTTATTAGTAGTGCTTCAATATCATCCAACACCTAATCCATGTTCAAATTTACCTGATTATCTCAAAAAAGTTTTTTGCAAATTTGAATCAGGATCCAGATGAGATCCACACATTCCATCTTCTAAAAAATTATCTTTTTTTTTTTCTTGAGATGAAGTTTCACTCTTGTCCCCCAGGCTGGAATGCAATGGCGCGATCTCAGCTCACTGCAACCTGCGCCTCTCAGGTTTAAGCGATTCTGCCTCAGCCTCCCGAGAAGCTGGGATTACAGGAATGCACCACCACACCCAGCTAATTTTGTATTTTTAGTACAGGCAGGGTTTCTCCATGTTGGTCAGGCTGATCTCGAATTCCCAACCTCAGGTGATCTGCCTGCCTTGGCCTCCCTAAGTGCTGGTATTACAGGTGTGAGCCATTGCGCCCAGCTGGTAGAGGATAATTTTAGTATCATTATAGATATTTACAGAGCTGAGGATGTCTCGGATGCCTACTTGGAAGATTCTCTGTTGGGATAATATATAGAATAGATTCGATTGTGGGCTTTTTGGATTAAAGTAAAATATGTAATATGTAAAAATGGAGTGCAATGCATAAGCTTAATCTAATCATGGGAAACAAGGATTTTTTTTTTTTTTTTGACAGTGTTTCACCGTGTTGTCCAGGTTGGTCTCAAACTCCTGAGCTCAGGCAGTCTGCTCACCTCAGCTTCCCAAAGTGCTGGGATTACAGGTGTGAGCCACTGCTCCCGGCCCTTTGTATTATTCATATTCTTACACTTTTCTGTATATTTGAAATGATTTCTAAATCAAAAGTTTGAAGAAGTTGAATAGAAATATAGGTCCTGCACAGCACATCTTGGGGAGAGAGACTTTAATCACTGAGAATGATTAATGGGCTAGGTCTTTTCGTAAAACAAGAGCGCAGTCAGCCCTTCCTGTGACTCTTCTGGGAACTTTCTCTCTTCAGCAGAATCAAAGCCAGAAGTCCATACCTGTCCCTCTTGTCCCGTGGTCTTTGGCAGTCAGCAATTCCTTAGCCAAGATGAGCTACACAATCATCCTATTCCAGGATTTTATGCAGGAAATCAACCCACCCAGGAAATCCCTGCCAGGAGGATCAGCCACAGGCCACATTGTTCTGCTAAAAATCACAGGGGGAGCTGAAGCAAAAGATCAACGAGTGGAAGGAGGTGTTAGACCCTTGTTTTGGAGTATAAATGAGAGGGGGACTTTAGTGGGTTTCTCTAGCCTGTTCCAGAGACCACCAGTAAGCTCTCAGGGAGGCAACAGAATGTTAGAGATACAGCTCAGTCTAGCCCAGGATGCAAGCTCTGAGGTAGTAGACAGAATTTCCAAGAAGGCAAAAACCCCAGGGTTTAGAGCGGTAAGGTTTGGAGAGTATGCACTAGCTTTTAGCCAGAAGTCAAACCTGTTCAGACAGAAGGCAGTCACAGCGGAAAAATCTTCAGACAAAAGCAGTCACAGGTGTGCAGGGGGTGTGGGTGAGGCTTCAGCGGGAAGTCACAGCTCATCAGACACCAGAGGACGCACACAGGAGAAAAGTCTTATGTCTATGGAGAGTGTGGGTGAGGCTTTAGCCGCAAGTCACACCTCAGCCCACATCGGAGGACACACACAAGGGAGAAGCCATTTATGTGCACGGTGTGTGGGCAAGGCGTTCGTAACAAGTCACACCTCATTCAGCACCAGAGAATTCACACAGAGGATACGCCTTACGTGTGTAGGAACAACGGCCGAAGCTTTGTGAGGAGATCATGCCTCATCAAACACCAGAGGATACATTCAGGTGAGAAGCCTTTCATTTGCAGAGAGTGTGGGTGGGGCTTTTGTGATAAATCCACTCTCATACAGCAGAGGGCACATTCAGGGGAGAAGCCGCATGTGTGTGAGGAGTGTGGGCGTGGATTTACCCGGAAGTCGACACTCAAGTCACATCGGAGAACGCACTCAGGGGAGAAGCCTTATGTGTGTGGGGAATGTGGGTGGGGATTTAGCAGCAAGGGAGTCCTCAACACACACTGGGGGACACGCATGGCAGCGAAGCCTTACGCATGTCGAGTAGCCGCAAGTCCACTCTCAGCCCACGTGAGGATACACTCGGGAGAAGCCTTCACAGGGAGTGAGGGTAAGTGCTGGTTGGAAGTGGCCCCTTAAGAGACACTGGGAGTCAAATCTGTCCACCATACACCTACCCCGCTCTAGTTCTAAGGGCTTCAGGGACAGTCTTCTGACCCCTGATATTCCTGCAGATGTGAAGATGGCAGAGCTCTGACTTCGGAGAGCAGAGGTGCCAAGTGACAGTCCTCTTGGAGGAATGGTCTTTGCACTTGACTACTTCCTCCTGCAGCTGTGGTCTTCCATTGGCTTCTGTGACACGCTTCTGCTTTTTCTACATCTCTAGCCTTTGCTGTATTTTCTCCCACCCCACCTTTAGATTTTACTCACAGTTCAGTCTCCAGCCTTATGATCTGAGGGACTCCTTAACCAGGTCCCCTTTCTAACCCTCCAGTCCCAAGTCCAAGATTATTTAACCACACGCTAAAAGTTCTTCAGACTCAGGACTTAAACCTGATAGCCATGCCATGTTGGCCCTCAGTGACAGTGATGACTACTAGCAATGCCTCATCATCGACCTTCCAATGTTAGGTTTAAGGGTATTTAAACACAGCTCCTCTTGAATCCGCCAATCTCAGTTCACAGTGTTTTAGCCACACTCAGGTGGCTAAATTACGTCCAGTAATGGTGCTAAGGCCTTTAGCCATCTGTCCCACACTCTCAGGGCCCATATGGCCCAGGTTCTGACAGTTTGCCTTATTCTCTTCTTCTTTTTTTTTTTGTGAGACGGAGTTTCGCTCTTGTTACCCAGGCTGGAGTGCAATGGCGCGATCTCGGCTCACCGCAACCTCCGCCTCCTGGGTTCAGGCAATTCTCCTGCCTCAGCCTCCTGAGTAGCTGGGATTACAGGCATGCGCCACCACGCCCAGCTAATTTTTTGTATTTTTAGTAGAGACGGGGTTTCACCATGTTGACCAGGATGGTCTCGATCTCTTGACCTCGTGATCCACCCGCCTCGGCCTCCCAAAGTGCTGGGATTACAGGCTTGAGCCACCGCGCCCGGCCTGCCTTATTCTCTTCTTGGCCTGGGGCTAGCCCTACCTGACACCCTCTGTCAATGAGTATACCTTGGAGAGCTGTCCATTCAGGCCCCAGTGCCTTTATTTGCTAAGAGACCCTTTGTCGCAGAAAAGAGGGGAGAGACATTTGGGTAGCCTCAAATTACTTAGGCTTGGTTTTGATGCTGGAAAAGAAGAAGGACTTGGAGAGAGAAAAGGAGTTACTGGGTGCAGAGACTTTTGTCCACTGCCTCTCACTGGAAGTGGTTGATCTCCAGGGAATCCCCAAGCTTAGCCTGGTTGGGGGAAGGGCTAGGGGTACCTGGAATGTAGTTTCTTCTTACCCCTGCCTGGCCTACAACCCTAATGCTGCCTCTTTCCCACGGCCTGAGGTAAAAGCCACAGTGTGTGTATGTGTGTGTGTTTAGGGGTTGCTGAGCAGGGGAAGGGTGGGTCACCATCATTCCACAAGACCTCAAAGTTACTTCTCCCATAGAAAAGCAAAGTGGAAAAATTAACGATCATATATCTTCTTTAAAGATGACAGGGAGAAAAAAATGTTCATTTTATATATATAAATGAACTTTTTTTTTTTTTTTTTTTTTTTTTTTTTTGAGACAGAATCTCGCTCAGATGCCCAGGCTGGAGTGCAGTGGTGCGATCTCGGCTCACTGCAACTTCTGCCTCCCAGGTTCAAGCAATTCTCTGCCTCAGCCTCCTGAGTAGCTGGGATACAGTTACCCGCCACCACGCCCAGCTAATTTGTGTATTTTTAGTAGAGATGGGGTTTCACTATGTTGGCCAGGTTGGTCTTGAACTCCTGACCTTGTGATTCACCCGCCTCTGCCTCCCAAAGTGCTGGGATTATAGGTGTGAGCTACCGCGTCTGGCCTCATTTTCTATTAAAATCTATGTAAGCACTGTAGAGACACCACACAGGTCTGGCCCAGCGAGATGACTGGCAGGTCCAGGCAGTCAGAGGAGGAGATGCAGAGGGTACCTCTGTCTAGGCTGGGGCAGATGGCTGTGGGTGCCGTCTAGTCAAGAATCACCCCTTCCTTTGTCTCTTCGAAAAGAGAATGAAATCAGGGCTGTAATGGCCTCATCTCTGCAGTAACAGGCTGGAGGTGTTGTGAGACCTTCGCAGTAAAGGGTTGCTGGGGAAGGGGAGGGGTGAGGAAAGGTGTCTCTGGTGTAGGGGCTGACAGCTCATTTCTGAAGGATGATATGGGACTTCATTCAAATGACTGCAGGGCCCACTCAGTCAAACTGAGATCAAGGTGGCCTGTCTCCCTGCTGACCTCATCCTTCAACCCCACCCCTAAAGTTCCCTGGCTCTGCCCATTTTTCTACCATTGTGTTTGGCCCTCCAAATCCCTCATCCCCTTTCCTTGAACTTTGTCCCTCAGCGCAGCTTCTCCCTCAGCACACACCTAGAGACTGTTCTTTATCCCTCCCTGTGGACTTGTTCTTCAGCACTGACTTTTCCCTTTGTTTCCCTTTTTTTTTTTTCTTTTGAGATGGAGTTTCACTCTTGTTGCCCAGGCTGCAGCACAGTGGCACAATCTTGGCTCACCACAACCTCCACCTCCCAGGTTCAAGCGATTCTCCTGCCTCAGCCTCCTGAGTAGCTGGAATCACAGGCATGCACCACCCTGCCTGGCTAATATTGTATTTTTAGTAGAGACAGGGTTTTCCGTGTTGGTCAGGCTGGTCTTGAACTCCCAACCTCAGGTGATCTGCCCGCCTTGGCCTCCCAAAGTACTGGGATTACAGGCATGAGCCACCGAGCCCAACTTGTTTTCCAAATCTTATTGAAGTGGTGCCTGCAGGGTAGGATGGTGGGGGAGAGTGCTTTGGGAGGAGCCACAGAAGGCTCTGGAGGGGCTACTTGCCACCTCTGCTACTTGCCCACCATCTGGGGAACAAGGATAGAACTGCCTAAGGTCAGTTCCAGCTGTCATTGATTCCTTATGTTCTCCCTCTCTGAGGAATGGCTCCACCTCACTTTGCCACAGTTTTAGCATCTTAGAGGTCTGCATTTAGAGGCCACTTTCCTATAAGCCTTTGCAGGAGTGCTCGCTGAGTGCAATCCCAGGGATCCCAGTTTTCTGCAGCTGTTCCTTTCCATCATCACTGCCTTTTCTCCCCTGCCTTATTAACCCTCCTTTCCTATCTTGAGGGGTCCCTTCATGCCCTGGCCTCAGGAATTCCTCTTTCTAGGCCTTGGAGTAAGGTGAGAATCAAGATCTCCACAACTGGCTCCAGTGATTCAGATGCTGGGCCCTATGGTAAACCTCTCTCCAGGAAAGAAACGGGTGAGGGTGGAGTAAGTCAGCTAAGGGATCTGAGCTCTTAGAGGTGAAAGTCTATGTTTTCCCAGTAGGTAAGCATCTTCGACCTGTAAGGGTTAACTCGAGGGGCAGGAACTATAATATGGTTAGTAAAGGAGGGAGGTTAATAAGAATCAATTTGCCGGGTGTGGTGGCTAACGCTTGTAATCCCAGCACTTTGGGAGGCCAAGGTGGGCAGATCATGAGGTCGGGAGTTCGAGACCAGCCTGATCGTAACATGGAGAAACCCCGTCTCTACTAAAAAAAAAAAAAAAAAAAAAAAAAAAAAAATTACCTAGGCATGGTGGTGCATGCCTTAAATCCCAGCTAGTTGGGAAGCTGACTTGAACCCGGGAGGCAGAGGTTGCGGTGAGCCGAGATTGTGCCATTACACTCCAGCCTGGGCACCAAGAGTGAAACTCTGTCTCAAAAAAAAAAAAAAAAAAAAGAATCAATTACGGCTTCAGGGCCAGTTGCAATGGTGGGAAATGTTACCTTTTCCACTAATCCACTTATATTGAGTCTTTTTTTTTTTTTTTTTTTTTTTTTGAGACGGAGTTTCGCTCTTGTTACCCAGGCTGGAGTGCAATGGCGCGATCTCGGCTCACTGCAACCTCCGCCTCCTGGGTTCAGGCAATTCTCCTGCCTCAGCCTCCTCAGTAGCTGGGATTATAGGCACGCACCACCATGCCCAGCTAATTTTGTGTGTTTTTAGTAGAGACGGGGTTTCACCATGTTGACCAGGTTGGTCTCGATCTCTCGACCTTGTGATCCACCCGCCTCGGCCTCCCAAAGTGCTGGGATTACAGGCTTGAGCCACCGCGCCCGGCTATATTGAGTCTTAAGTAGAGATTGTAGCTCACCAGGTTCTTGCCTGGCTCTGTGATACGCTGAGCTACACGCAGAGCTGGCGCCTGGGCGGACCCAAACACAGGCAGGGGAGGACGGCACTGTACAACTTTTTATGCCCCATCTCACGTCCTCTTGGCCTACATTCTTACCCTGACCATAGCTCCACTCAGCTGAAATCAAAGACCTCCTCATTCTTTCTCTTGTGCTCCTTCTAGGAGCTTCTCTGCTGATGCAGTGCAGGAAGCCTGCAAGAGCCCCTCAGCCTTTCTGGCGGCATGCAAGTCTGGGACTGCAAAGGGGTTATGTCTCCCTGGCAAATCACTGACAATGGATGATGGAAACCAATGGGCAAACAACCAGCCTCCTAGGCTTTGGTGGGAGACAGAGGACCACCAAGTAGATGGAAGCCCTGTTGTCCACTGTGGTAAACAGCTCAATACTCTGTTCTTGGGATGGCTTTCCCTTCTCCCTTCTTTTACTCTCTTAGTGTCCTGATGCCTGTTTTCTGAGGTCCCTTCCTAAAATAGACTACCTGCACACACTTCACCATCTCCTGCTCTGCTTTTGGGGGCCCCTGAAGCATAGTCTATTATTCTGTCATGCTGCTAGTAAAGCATACCTGAGACTGGACAATTTGTAAAGAAAATAAGTTGAATTGACTCAAAGTACCACATGGCTGGGGAGGCATCAGAAGCATGGCTGAAGGCAGATGAGGAGCAAAGTAATGTCTTACATGGCGGCAGGCAAGAGAGCTTGTGTAGGGGAACTTCTGTTTATAAAACCATCAGCTCTCATGAGACTTACTATCACGAGAATAACACGGGAAAGACCCAACCCAAGATTCAATTACCTCCCATTGGGTCCCTCCCATGACATGTAGGAATTATGGGAGCTACAATTTAAGATGAGATTTGGGTGGGGACACAGCCAAACCATATCACATAGACACAAGAGCTGTTAAGGAGAGAAGTGAAAGCCTGTGACTCCTGGAACCACTAAACCAGAGGAACAATTCTCACCTGAATTATAATTTGTGTTGGGAGGCTTCCCTTTCAAATTTATATTCTGTGGGAACTCATAATCTCAGTTGTCTTTTTACTCTCCTGTATCCTGACTCTTCCTTTCTTTTGGCAAAGAACTAGAGCCTATAAATCAATTCGCATTTTACCAGTCCTTCAAAATGTCCTTAAGCTGCCAAATTTCCCTAAACTTGATATATTTCTCCTTAAGTCACAATCAAACTTGAGAAAAGTCTATACTCATTGTCCGTTTCCTTAAATCCAAGTTCTCCATTTTCTTGCAATCTTTCTTTCTTCTTTTTTTCTCTTTCTTTCTTTCTTTTGTTATAGAGAGCTTTGTTATCAAAGCAAAGCAATTTTTCATTTACAGGATTATCTAAAATTTGCAGATAAGGTTTCTTTACATTGGAATTTTTATGGGAAACCCCACCTGGAGCATCCAAAGACAGGAAAGAGTTGGGGGTCAGAGCCATGGATAAGATATGAATGTCCCAGATCGAGGCTATGTAGGAAAAGCATGTCTAGTGTCTGGGGAGATATGTTATTTCAGGAGAAAGAAAAAAGCCTCTCAACTGTGGTTGCACTGCCAGCAACCCGGTTACCATCCAGTCTTCCATAGCACAGGAAGTCCCCCACTTACAGTGGTTCGACTTCCATTTTTCGACTTTATGATGTGAAAATGATATGCACTCAGTAGAAACTGTACTTTGAATTTTGAATTTTGATCTTTTCCCCGGGCTAGCAACATGCTATATGACACTCTTATGATGCTGGGCAGCAGCAGTGAGCCATAGCTCCAGGCTGCCACACTCACGAGGGTAAACCATGGACATTACAGTGTACTGTGCTGCCGATGATTTTGCCCAACCCTAGACTAATGTAAGTGTTTTGTTTGTTTTTGTGGCAGTGTCTCACTCTGTCACTCAGGTTGGAGTGCAGTGGCATGATCTTGGCTCACTGCAACCTTCTCCTCCAGAGCTGAAGCAATCCTCCCATCTCAGCTGCCCGAGTAGCTGGGACTACAGGGACGTACCACCACACCTAGCTAATATATATATATATATATATATATATATATATATATATATATATGTATATATATTTGGTAGAGATGCGGTTTCACCATGTTTCCCAGGCTGGTCGAGCTCCTGGCCTCAAGCAATTCACCCACCTCAGCCTCCCAGAGTGCTGGGATTACAGGCATGAGCCACCCTGTCTGGCCTAATGTAAGTGTTCTAAACACGTTTAAGTAGGTGAGGCTAAGCTATGAGTCCCATAGGTTAGGTGTATTCAACACATTTTTGTCTTACAATATTTTCAATTTAAGATGGGCTTATTTGGATGCAACCTCACTGTTAAGCCAAGGAGCATCCGTATTACCTTTGTAGGGACAGGCAAACCTATGGGAAACCTAAAATTCTGGTCTTGGCCCACAGTTCTCAGTCCCATGAGTTACAAATCTTCAATGGCTAACCAGAAGACAAACCAGCCCAAACTACCTGTTTCTGTAAAATTCTCTAAGAGGTATGGGAGGAGCTATGTTCTCTCCCAGGACCTAAAATTGCGTTCCCATGCTAATGCCACACTCTCCTTTTTATTTATTTATTTATTTATTTGAGATGGAGTCTTGCTCTGTCACCCAGGCTGCAGTGCAGTGGCACCATCTCGGCACACTGCAGCCTCTGCCTCCTGGGTTCCAGCGATTCTCCTGCCTCAGCCTCCCGGGGAAGCTGGGATTACAGGTGCCCGCCACCACACCCAGCTAATGTTTGTATTTTTAGTAGAGACAGAGTTTCATCATGTTGGCCAAGCTGGTCTTGAACTCCTGACCTCAGGTGACCCGCCTGCCTTGGCCTCCCAAAGTGCTGGGATTACAGGTGTGAGCCACTGCGCCCAGCCCTTTTTTTTTTTTTTTTTTTTTAAAGACAGGGTCTCACTGTCGCCCAGGCTGGAGTGCAGTGGCTCAACCTGCACCGTAGCCTCAACTTCTCAGGCTCAAGCAATCCTCCCACTTTACCTCCCAAGTAGCTGAGTCCACAGGCATGCACCACCACACCCAGCTAATTTTTTAATTTTAATTTTTGTAGACACAGGGGTCTCACCATGTTGCCCAGACTGGTTTCAAACTCCTGACCGCAGGTGATCTGCCTGCCTCGGCCTCCCAAAGTGTTGGAATCACAGGCATAAGCCACCGCACCCATTTTTACTTTTTATAGAGACAGGGTCTCACTTGTTGCCCAGGCTACAATTAGTTTGCTATAGGGAATAGGTTTTGCAGGGCAGTGGTCCCCAACTTTTCAGGTACTAAGGACCAGTTTCATAGAAGATAGTTTTTTCCACGGACTAGGGATGGGGGATGGTTTCAAGATGAAACTGTTCCACCTTAGATCATTAGGTATTAGAGTCTCATAAGGAGCACATAACCTAGATCCCCTGAATGTACAATTCCCCATAGGGTTCCCACTCCCACAGTAATCTAAAGCCACTGCTGATCTGATAGGAGGCGAGCCTAGGTGGTAATGTCTGAAGTCTGGGAGTTGGGGACCCCTGTTGCAGGGTTTAAGTGAAAAGGGGAGAGATTGGGACTTCTAGTGTTCCTTTTCCTATAGTTCTGAATTTTGAATCATGTTAATGTTTTGCATATTCAAAATAAATGAAGTTAAATCAATTTAAATGAACTTAATTTAGTTCATAAAAAATCCAAAATAGAAATAAATGAAATCTATTGAATATCAAATTGAGAAAAAACACAAAGAGATAAAAAGAATTAATCTAGGCTGGGCAGGGTAGCTCATGCCTACAATCCCAGCACTTTGGGAGGCCAGGTGGGTGGAACCCTTGAGTCTATGGGTTCAAGACCAGCCTGGGCAATATAGCGAAACCCCATTTCTACAAAAAAATATACAAATTAGGTGGATATGGTGTTGTGCACCTGTGGTCCCAGTTACTAGAGGCTGAGGCAGGAGAATCGCTTGAGCCCAGAAGGTGGAGGTTGCAGTGAGCCGAGATTGTACAACTGCACTCCAGCCTGGGTGATAGAGTGAAATCTCATCTCAAAAAAAAAAAAAAAAAGAATTACTCTAAATAAAATGTGAATACCCTGATTATGCACCTTCAGTGAGATCTATTCTAAGAACAAAAAGAACTGCAAAGGAATTCTGAACTTTACTTAGTAGGGTTGTTATTGATAAGTGTTGGGACATAGCAACATAGCAAGTCTTTTTAAAAAAAATTCCAACACCACGTATCACAAAATACACAAATCTTAAAGGTATAGGTGGATGACTTTTGACAAATGCACACACCCATGTGACCATTACCCAGATTGAGATAAAGGACATTTCCATCATCCAACAAAGTTCCCTTGTGCTCTACACCATGCCCCCAAAAAGCAATCATTCTTTTGATCTGTTTCACCACAGAATCACCAAGTACAGTTTTGTTACATAGATATATTAGGTAGTGGTGAACTCTGGGATTTTAGGGTATCCATCACCCAAAAAGGTATATTGTACCCATTAAGTGAATTTCTCATCCTTCACTCTACTTCCACCTTTCTGAGTCTCCACTGTCTATTATTCTATTCTCTCTAGGTGTACACATTAGCTCCCACTTATTAGTAAGAACATGTGGTATTTGACTGTTTCTGAGTTATTTCACTTAAGATAACGGCCTCTTTGGCTGGGCACATGGCTCACACCTATAATCCCAGCACTTTGGGAGACCAAGACAGGAGGACTGCCTCAGCTCAGGAGTTCAAGACCAGCCTGGGCAACATGGTGAAACCCCATCTCTACTAAAAATACAAAATTAGCTGGTTGTGGTGATGTGTGCCTGTAATACCAGCTACTTGGGAGGCCAAGGCAGGAGAATTGCTTGATCCCCGGAAGCGGAGGTTGCAATGAGCCAAGATGGCGCCACTGTACTCCAGCTTGGACGACAAGCAAGACTCCTTCTCAAAAAAATAATAAAAAATACAAATACAACTAGGTGTGGTGGCTCATGCCTATAATCCCAGCACTTTGGGAAGCCAAGGTGAGTGGATTACTGGAAGTCAGGAGTTCAAGACCAGCCTGGCCAATGTGGTAAAACCCTGACTACTAAAACTACAAAATTAGCTGGGGGTGGCATGCACCTGTAATCCCAGCTATTTGGGAGGCTGAGGCAGAATTGCTTGAACCTGGGAGGCGGAGGTTGCAGTGAGCTGAGATTGCACCACTGCACTTCAGCCAGGGCAAAAAGAGGGAAACTCTGTCCTAAACAAAAACAACCCCCCCCCCTCCAAAAAACATGAAAATTAGCCAGGTGTGGTGGCTCACACCTGTAATACCAGCTACTTGGGAGGCTGAGGCAGAAGAATTGCTTGAACCTGGGAGGTAGATGTTGCAGTGAGCTGAGAATGTGCCACTGCACTCCAGCCTGGGCAAACTTCATCCTAAAACAACAACAACAACAAAATAACTACAAAACAAAAACAAAAAAACCATGAAAATTAGCCGGGTGTGGTAGCTTACACCTGTAATCGCAGCTACTGGGGAGACTGAGGCAGGAGAATTGCTTCAACCTGGGAGGCAGAGGTTGCAGTGAGCTGAGATCATGCCATTGCCGTCCAGCCTGGGTGACAGAGCAAGACTCTGTCTTTAAAAAAAAAAAAAAAAAAAAAAAAAGAGAATGGCCTTCACCTTCAACCATGTTGCTGCGAAAGACATGATCGAATTCTTATGACTCAGCACCTTTTTGAGATCCAAGTAGTTCATTCTTTTCTATTGGTAAGAATTCCATTATATGCATATATCAGAGTTTATTAGTTCTGCTATTGATAGACATCGGAGTTGTTTTAGTTTTTGGTTATTATGAATAAAACTTGTTTTTTTTTTTTTTTTTTTTTTTTTTTTGAGACGGAGTTTCGCTCGTTACCCAGGCTGGAGTGCAATGGCTCGATCTCGGCTCACCGACCTCCGCCTCCTGGGTTCAGGCAATTCTCCTGCCTCAGCCTCCTGAGTAGCTGGGATTACAGGCACGCGCCACCATGCCCAGCTAATTTTTTGTATTTTTTAGTAGAGACGGGGTTTCACCATGTTGACCAGGATGGTCTCGATCTCTCGACCTCGTGATCCACCCGCCTCGGCCTCCCAAAGTGCTGGGATTACAGGCTTGAGCCACCGCACCCGGCCATGAATAAAACTTCTATGAACATTTTTGTGTCTCAGGCAGCTTGGGCTGCCATAACAAAATACTGTATGGTATGGCTGAGTGGCTTAAAAATCAGAAATTTTCTTCTGATAGTTTTGGAGGCTGGAAATTCCAAGGTCAAGATCTGGCTAGGTTTGGTTTCTGGTGAGGGCTCTCTTCTTAGCTTGTGGATGACCACTTTCTTGCTCTGTGCTCCCAGGGCCTTTCCTAGGTGCATGCATACAGAGCTCTCGGGTCTCCCTTTTCTTATAAAGGCACTGATCCCGTCATGAGGATCCCACCCTCATTACCTCATCTACTTTTTTTTTTTTTTTGAGATAGAGTTTTGCTCTTGTTGCCCAGGCTGGAGTGCAATGGCACAATCTTGGCTAACTGCAACCTCCGCCTCCCAGGTTCAAGCGATTCTCCTGCCTCAGCCTCTCAAGTAGCTAGGGTTACAGGCATGCATCACCATGCCTGGCTAATTTTTTATTTTATTTAGTAGAGACAGAGTTTCGCCATGTTGGCCAGGCTGGTCTCCAACACCTGACCTCAGGTGATCCGCCCGCCTCAGCCTCCCAAAGTGCTGGGATTATTACAGGTGTGAGCTACTGCGCCTGGCCATCTAAACTTAATTTTATCTCCTAAATGTTCTGCTTCCAAATATTATCACATTGGGGGTTAGGGCTTCAACATATGAATTTTAGGGGGATATAATTCAGTCCATAGCATTTGTCTTTTGGTGGACCTGGGTGCTAGGTGTGGTCATTACCATTGGAGTGTCACTGCTCTCAGGTCAGTGCAAGGGACTATACGTCCCTACATACATACAAAAACATATTTACATCTATTGCTATAAAACATGAGTTCACACTGATATCTCCAATTCCAGATACTACTTGGTTTATTCTAGTTTTCTCCCTTTCCATATTTATAGGAGCCAGGTTTCTTCTCTACAGAAACCCGACTGCCATTAAATGAAAGGCAGTTTTATTGGGAGATAATTCTGTGTCTCTTGTCTTTCTGGGTGCTTGTGGCCTGACGTTGAACAGATTTTTGTTCCAGACTATTTCAAGGATTTCTGTATGGCAAATGGCCTTAGAAGACAGAGATAGTATCTCCCTAAGATTGCGATTCCTTAGCCATGATGCAAACCTACTGTGTGTAACACTCACCTGGGCCTGCCAGTGTTGCCCTGTGGGTCTTGGAGGGCAAGGACCACCAAGGCAAACACACTGCCTGCTGTGCCCTGAGCACTAGTCTCTGCCCAAGTCATCTGTGTCTTCTGCCAGCATTCATGTAGCTGGCTCCCTAACACAAGAAGTTGCTGAAAATTCTGCTCCGTTTCTTAACCTCTCAGCTGCCTCTTCCAGAATCAGCAGGTACCCTTATGAGAAGAGAGGCTCTAAGTCCCAGGCTCACTTCTCTGAGTTTCTTTGTCCTGAATTTTGGTTCTATATTGGCAGCTGATGCGTTCAGATAGATGCTGTTTTGCACGGCTTTTCTAGTTGTTTTCTGTTCAGTGGGTCCAAATTTCCTGGTCTACCATTAGTGAAAGTGGCAGATAGTGAAGGCGGTTTTCAACTAAAAGGTTTCAAGGCCACCAAAAAGAGAAAAATATACATGTACTGAAAAAGAAAAGTCAAGACCTGTCATAAGAAGTGTTGCAGGTTTCTTGGGTCACACACATACCAAAATGACCCATATATTCCTGAAAACACACAGATTGCCTAGCGCTCCAGAGCCCTGCTACAGATGCCCTATTTGATCTTGAGGCTTAGTTCCAATGCCAGCTACACCTTTTATAAAAGCCTTCCCACCCTATCTCCCTCACCTCCTCACCTCGCCGAAGGAAACCTTTCCTCTGTTCTCCCACAGGACTTGATACCCCTGTTAGAGCACTTCGCCATCTCTGCCATGTCTTATTTGGCTCACTACCCAAATTCATAATTAGCAACTTGAGGACCTAATCATTTCTTAACTGTCTCTGCATTTTTCAGCATGACTTGAATAGAAAATTTATGAAAATAAATGTTTGTATAATCTGATAAAGGAGATGAAGGAAAAGGCAGAGGAGAAAACCAAGGGTGTGGGATCAGAAACTCCAACAGAAGAGAGCGTTTCTAGACAATGAAGCAATTCTGAATACTGCTGAGAGGTCAGAATGATGAAGCCTGAAAAGTTCCCCCTAAATGTGGCAGCATAAAGGGTTCAGAACACTGACTTTTATTGAGGAAGACAGGCCAGATGTTGCTTAGAGTCACTGCATTCTTCAGGCAAGTCAGTTAGGCAAGCTTGTTGAAGGATGAACAGTTCTCAGTAAAAGGAGGAGTCATCATTCTTGTGAACCACCATGAACATTCCAGAGAAGAGGTAGATAGAAAGCTAGATTCTGGAGGATGTTCAGTGGTAAGCTAGGCCCTCAGGCAGGTGGTGACGCCCAGCAGAAATGGTATTATGAGCCCAGGCCTCCCTGGTCCCAGGAGAATGTTTTAGACTAGACACCTAGGAGAAAAGTCTGGGCGATGCCACTGGTCTTCATAGACTGCATCAGGCTGGTCCTAGGCCTCCTGTTCCGGCTACATAGTGGACACCTCCCTCTGGGCTATAGCACACAGGGCCACAGCGCAACTGGGGCTCTTCCTCCTCGTACCAGCGCTGTTCACTGAAGTCAGGGAAGAAAGCTGCAATCTCTCTGCTGGCTGAAACCACAGAGTCTGTAAGGCGAGATAAGACAGAGAAGGGGTTATCACATGCAAGAGGCAGTCATAATCAGGTTCAGAAATCTGAGCCTCTACTCTGCCTGCCCCTTCAGTCCTGGGGCATGTAAAGAAAGTCAACAGGCCACATCTGCCAACATGGCTACAAAGACCAGAAACACAAATGGAAGAAAGCTCATTGGAGAGACCTGGCTGTCAACTCTACCACACAGTCTGCTCACTAACCCCAAAATACCCTGCCTATTTGTGGTTGTGGACAGGGGAGGCTGACTCACCGGAGCCATGGGTGGTATTGCGGGTGTCAGTGAGGCCAAAACTCCCACGAATGGAATCTGGGGCCACATAGCGTGCTCGGAACACTCTGGTGGGTCCCATGAGCGTCCTCCAGAGCTGGATGGCATCCTTGTGGGCGAGGATGTAGGCTCGGATTGGCCCACTGTGAACAAAACGAGCACATGTAAGGAATCTGGCCATCTAGACTAGAAGGGTGTGCTGTGAGTAGGGCCTGAATAAAGACACACTCCATGTTCTGAGAGTTTTCCTGCCTTTCCAGCCAAGTACCAATGCTGCTTCAAGTAGGTGATACAAGGCCCTTGCTGGTGTACGTAAAGCCTGCAGAGATCAGTAGGGTGGCTACACAGCATTCGATGGGACTCTTCTATAGCCACTGGTCCAGTAACCACCACAGGACAGGGGCCTAACAGGTCAGTGTCAGCTTGGTGATAGCCCCAAACCCATTTCTTCAGACTTGACATTGATTACAACTTTTGTTTTATTTTTTGAGACGGAGTCTCACTCTGTCACCCAGGCTGGAATACAGTGGTGCAATCTTGGCCCACTGCCACCTCTACTTCTCAAGTGTAAGTGATTTTCCTGCCTCAGCCTCTTGAGTAGCTGGGATTACAGGCACCTGCAACCATGCCCAACTAATTCTTTTGTATTTTTGGGGTTTCTGAGGCAGTTCACTCTTGTTGTGCAGGCTGGAGTGCACTGGCATAATCCTGGCTCACTATAACCTCTACCTCCTGGGTTCAAGCAATTCTCCTGCCTAGGCCTCCACCCACCACCATGCCCGGCTAATTTTTTGCATTTTTAGTAGAGATGGGGTTTCCCCATGTTGGCTAGGCTAGTTTTGAACTTCTGACCTCAAATGATCCACCTGCCTCGACCTCCCAAAGTGCTGGGATTACAAGAGTGAACCAACGTACCTGGCCTGACTACAGCTTTAAAGAATGACAGTAAATGAACAAATCCATTTAGGGGCAGGGGAGAGTCACCTCAGTGGATAAAGATGCTGGAACCAAATTAGAAGTACCTGGCCATGAACTCCACAAGCCGCTGATAGAAAAAACGCCCTGCAAAAAGAGAGGAGCTTCATCAGGATACCGTCATCCTGGTGCCCAAGGCAACTTTCTGTCCTTCTACCTCCTTACCTAGAATAATAAAAATAAAAATGGTTTTAGAGAACAGAACAAGGACCCTGGAGTCTGACGAACTTTGGGTCTGAATCCAGGCTCCGACACTTACAACCTGCGTAGTTTTGGGTCAATCGTTAACCTTCTACATGTAACTTTGCTTCCTAATCTGTATACAGGGGACATAATGACACCTACTTTTTAGAGTTGTTGGGAAAACTGAATGAAAAAATCAGCACTAGGACAATGTCTGACGGTAAACCTCCATTCACTATGTGTTAACTGGTGATATTATTATCAGGACATAACATTAAGTTTCTGGTTGGGACTACAAGGTGGAGCCCTCCTTGGGGGAAAAAAAGACGGATAATCATGAAAAATGTGTGTTTTAAACCAAGATTTCAGAAAACTGGCTGCAACTAATACATGGTTGGTAGGTCAGAGAGCCTGCCACTCTGTTCCAGGTAAAATCACTCTTACGGGGCTCTTGGGACTGACGCACCTTCCATTCTGAGGACTGTTGATCCTACCTTCATGCTCTCGGTAAAACCTCTGGCAATCTTCCTTTCTCCACAGTAGTTCTCTCATTCGTATAATCAGGAACTTGTTGCTGAGAATCTGCTGATGAACAGCCTGAATAAACCACCCCCGCAAAATAAAAATTAATTAGGATACCAAAACTGACCAAAAGAAACCACGAGAACCCCCTGTTGCTCAGGACTTGAGGGTTTGTCATATTGGGGGGTGAGAAGATGAGGTGGAGTGAGGTCAAGACCTCTAGTCACAGAGCAAGAGTGTGCGCGTCGGGTGAAAGAGGACAGGGTGTGCTGTCTCTGCTCTTCCATACGTGTAGCTCCTTGAGCTCAAGACCACAGGACCCACCATTCAGACAACCGTAAAGATCTTGTTAGTGGTCCTGCCTTGAATTTCTCTCACTCCTCCCAAACTATCACACTTGATAAATGAGAAACTCTGTAATTTCCATGTCACATTCTTGTCAGGTGTTGGGTAGTTCCCTTTGAGGCCCAGGTGAGTCTTGTGACTTCCAGGCCCCCATTCCTGACTGCCTGGATCTTCCTCTGCACCATTGTGGGCTTACTTAGCAGTGCTGCTCAGTTAGTGAGCACCTTATCAAACTATGGTAAGCAGAATGTGAAAATGATCCCAAGCCCCACCAGGATTTCCCACCCTAATCCCTGGGACTATGAATATGATGCAATATGATTATGTTACATCACATAACAATAGGGATTTTGTAGGTAAAATTAAGGTTCCTAATCAGTTGATTCTGCTATCATCAAAAGGGAGATTATCCAGGTGGGTCTAATTAATCACATGAGCCCTGTGAGATTAGAACTGTGAAGGCTTCTCAAGGCCAAGCATTTTCTCCGGCTAAAGGCTGAAGAAGTCAGAGTGATTCAAAGCATGAGAAGGATTTGATGCACTGTAGCTATGCTGAAGATGGAGTGGGCCATGTGATGAGGAATGTGAGTGGTCTCTAGACACTGGGAGTAATTCCTGCCTGAAGGCCAACAGGGAAATGGCAGCCTCAGTCCTACATGAACTCTACCAACAACCTGAATGAACCTGGAAGTGGATTCTTTCCCCAGACTCTCCCGATAAGGGCCTGGTCAGCCAATACCTTGACTTTGGCATCCTGAGACCTTAAGGAAACTCAGCCAAGCCTACTGGACCTCTAAACTATAGAACTGTGAAATAATAAATGAGTGTTGTTTTAAGCTCTTAAGTCTGGAGTAATGTGTTATGTAGCAATAGAAATGAACACATGTACATTGTCTTGAGATTTGGTTCTATTATTGCACTGGGTCCTTTCTTATATTTTAGATCTGCCTCAAGTCTCCAATAGATTTTTAGCGTCCTTAGGTCAGAGTTCATGGCATCTAGTTTTGCCTCCACAGTACCCAGCACAAGTCTGTGTTGTCAGTCACCATAAGTGGCCCAGTGGCACCTGAAGCAGTGGCAATGCCAAGGGCATGAGGTAGAGGCTTAGGATTCAGTCTTACCTCCAGAATCAGTGGATGGGCGACTGCATCAGGCTTGATCAGGGCTAGAGTGAGCTGGAGAGCCTGAGGGCTTCGCAAGATTGAGGCCATCTCACTCCTGCCATTAAAGAGGTGTATTAGGAACCCATCAGGACTGCACTCCCAGCCTTTCTACACTGGAGCCATGCAGCCTTGCAAGCCAAGTGCTCCCACTCCTGACACTCATAAAGAATGTGACAGTTTCATTTTAAGGCCATACAGATTATTTTATTTAATTCCCCATTTGGGGCAATGGGATCAAGGGAAGGGAGTGGTAGAGGGAGCATTCAAGTTGCCCCATGGAGTATATAATCTGGTGCAGCTGTAAGCCTATAAGAGAGTGACCCATTCAAGAGAAACTCAAGTTTAAATACTGTCTCTGCAAATATCCCTTCCTAACTTTCTTTTGTATTTTATAGAGGATTTACAATTTATACTCCTAAACAGCCTATTCACAGGGCATAATGATGAATTCATCTCTTAAAATCCTCCATCCCATAGTGCTCTCCTATCAAATCTAGGATAGGAAGACTGATGGACAGGAACTGAGGTGCTGCCAGGATACCAAAAAGTCTGCTGGATATATACCATCTCTTATCTAATATTATGGAGAGATCAGGATCTCCTGTGCCCAAAGCAACCTGTTAATACACTAGCTGTCCTCAGTGGCAAGACTTGTCAACACGCAGCTCCAATGACAGGAACAAGTCGTAACCATTTTGCATTTGAAACAGTGCTGGGCACAAAGGTGCTTGATCAATTTTATTTACTAAATAAACCTATATAGTCTTATTTCTATTCATCTTTGTATTCCCAGTGTCTAGCATGCTATAAGCGCTCAACTTTGTAGAAATGACATAATGTACATAAAAGCATTTTATAAACTGGACTAAGGGAATTTTGAGGTCTTTTCCAACTGTGGAATCTGAGTTATATGTGATGGGAGTAAAGCCTTTGTCTCATGTCTTATCTCAACATTATCTCTCATTTGGCCATGTGTGGTAGCTCACACCTGTAATATCAGTACTTGAGGTCAGGATTTTGAGCTGGGCAATGAAACAAGACCCTGACTCTTCTCTCTGTCTCTGTCTGTCTCTGTCTGTCTGTCTGTCTCTCTCTCTCTCTCTGTGTGTGTGTGTATATATATATATATATATATATATATATAATCTCTCATTTGTCAACAAATACAGAGAAGGCTTCCATTTTCCATTAACAAAAGCAGGGACAGAGTCTAGACAACATTCTTATTTATCTTATCCTAAAGCCTGTCAGTCCTGTTAAAGGTGGTATTAGAATCTGGCCCAAGCAAAGAAACTATGCCATAGTCTCTTCTATTCATGTTCTTTTTATAGCTTTCAACCTGATTTTCCACTCAAACCATAAAGCCAAGCCCAATCTAACCAGTACGAGATCACCCAGTGCACTCTCCCTAAGGCCACAGGTGGTAACGTCATTTTCAGCAGTTGTCTACAGAGACATTCATGACACCTCCCCTCCCTCACTCTTCATATCCACACTATCACCAACTTCTGGCAATTTTCCCCACCTAATATATCTCCAAACTATTCTCTCCCCCTCAACTGCTACCACCCTAACTCCGAGACATCATCATTCCCTCCCCCACCCCACCCACCGGACATCTTAACAGCCTCCTCACTGGTCTCCCAGTTTCTGACGTGCTAACCTCTACAATCTCCACACAGCAGCCAAAGTGAACTAAATATGCAAATCTAATCATAAGGTTTCCTCCTTAATCCTTTAAAGGGCACCCTGCTCTTAGAATAAAAACCAAAATCTTACTTGGTATATATCCAAAGGATTATAAATCATTCTACTATAAGGACACATGCACACGAATGTTCATTGCAGCACTGTTTACAATAGCAAAGACCTGGAACCAACCCAAATGCCCATCGATGATAGACTGGATAGGGAAAATGTGGTACATATACACCATGGAATATTACGCAGCCATCAAAAACGATGAGTTCGTGTCCTTCGTAGGGACATGGATGAACCTGGAAACCATCATTCTCAGCAAACTGACACAACAGCAGAAAAATCAAACACCGCATGTTCTCACTTATAGGCGGGTGTTGAACAATGAGAACACATGGACACAGGGAGGGGAGCACTACACACTGGGGTCTGTTGGGGGAAAATGGGAGAGGGACGGGGGGGTCGGGAGGTGGGAAGAGATAGCATGGGGAGAAATGACAGATACAGGTGAGGGGAACGAAGGCAGCAAACCACACTGCCATGAGTGTACCTATGCAACAATCTCACATGTTCTTCACATGTACCCCAAAACCTAAAATGCAAAAACAAACAAACAAACAAAAAACAAAATCCTTATCATGGCCTCCCAGGCTCTGCATGATCTTGTGGTCCCCACGTACCTCTCTAGCCTCATCTGGAACCCCAGACTCCTTAAGTTTCGCTAGCTCCAACCTCATGGGCCTTTCAGTTTCGAAACTTTCTGGCTTGACAGCCTTTGTGTGAGTAGTTTTCGCAGTCCTGGACGTGCTTTCTCTGGTTATCTCCTGCTCACCTTCGAGATCTTAGCTCACTTCCCGTTATACTTTCTCACAGTTCCGTGCAAGTTCTCAGTTCCGTCTTCCCCATCAGAAGGTGTAAGAAGTACCTAGCCCAGAGCTGGCTCTTAACAGTATCTGAATGAACCAACGAATGCACCTGATCCAGTTACTCCAAGGCTAGGCTGCTAGGGGTTCTCGTGGCAAGAACATGCGGCCTGTAGGGAGGACATGATTCCTTTCCTAATGCTTCTAAGTTGTGGCTGTCCTGTCAGTTTACAAGAAACTGACAAGTCGAGAAACCTGCTCGACTTAAAGGTGACTCCATCAGAGAATTAAAAATGTTAAAGCTGTCAGTACATTTGCCCCTCAGCCCTTGAGCGGACCACCACTCGGCTTCCTGGAGGTCGGCTGCCCGGCCCTGGTTCACCCACGTGCGGCCGAGACCTGCGCCCCAACCCCTGTGGCCACGCCCTCCAGCCCCCAAGGCTCAAGGCCTCAGCTCTCGACCCGGCCCCCTATTTCTCTAGGCCTACGACCGCGCAGCCCTCACCCCTCGTACCCGGGGCCTAAGTCCACCCCAGATTCTGGGTCTTTCGGAGCCCCAGTGCAACGGGAGTTCGGCTCCGGGTTTACCTGGTCCTCCCGCGACAGGCTCGGCCACCAGGCGCCACGCTGGATAGCCTGCGGCCCTCGCGGGGTCCTTCAGGCGCTCGCCGGGCAGCCCTCCTCGGGGTCCTCGCTTGGTTGAGGCGCGGGGTGAGGCGCGTCGTGAAGAGCCGTGGGCAGGTCTCCTCCGGCTGTGCTCTGGCTGCGGACGGCACGAGAAGAGGAAGCCGTCTTGGGCGGTGGAACTCGCTTGTGGGAACCGCCCCGCGGAAGCCGGCGTGGCGCCCACTGCGGGAGGGAGTGCCATGCGGCGCTCCGCCGAGTGGCGAAAGCTAGAGGACCGGACGGGCAGTTCAGGGTGGCAGCCCGGCGGGTGCGATGTCAGCCAGCAGGAACACAGACGGAAACCTTGCCCATCTCGTTATTTTCTTTGCCTAGGGTAGTGCCTGGAACATGGTTGGTGCCCAGTATTTGTCAAAAGTACACGGAGGGCAAAGAACTTCAGCGCTCGATCGCTAGTGCTTTGGCAGCCCTTCAAAGTCTTTTGAGCTCGGAGCGATACATTGGCACGAAGGATCGCAGCTGATGTGGGGGTTGATGAAGCAGGATCCTTGGCTGGAGCCCAGGTGTGCATAAGGCATGAGGGAAGCAAGTTATAACGGCCTTGGACGTGTCATTAGGAATGTGGGCAGTAAGGTGTGGATTGGGTTACTCTCGAGTCTATTGAAGTAGTCCAGGGTGAGGAGATGAGAACTGGGTGTATTCTTGGTGGGTACTGTGATGTATGCGGAGGATGGGGACAGGGAGAATGGATGGGGGTCCATTATGGCAGGATGAATAAAGGCGGTTTAAAAAGTGTTTTTGTTTCTTGGGTTTTTTTTTTTTTTTTTTTTTTTTTGAGGGAATCACTGAGAATGAGAAGAGTGAATATAAACGATAACCATCATCAGTTTAAATACTTACTTGAACATTTAACTGACTTCAGTATCTGCTACACAGGTAATGCCCTCTTGGAAGGTTTGTCCCTAACTCCTCATGGCTTCTCTCTCTGCAGCAGTAAGAAGCTACTTCCCAATAGTTTCCTGATACCCAGTCACCTTTGGGACCTTCTGAGGAAAGTTTTTCCAGTCTCTTCAGAGACTCCTCCATTTCTTCTCTTTTTGTTTTGACACCTGACCACCACCCCCTACTCTAACCTTAACTCCTCTGATAATCAGTTCCAATCCTAACCCAGGCCCTTTAATCCTAGACCTGGTCTCTAGATCCTGAGCCCTTGATACTTAACCTTCTAACCTCCTAGTCCTAACCTCGAATCCCTAAACCCCAACCTATGAATTCTAACCTCTGAATCTCGAACCTTAGGCCCCCAACTGTGACTCCAAAGACAGGCCAGTCCTTTTCCCCACCCTGAGTCACAGACAGAGGGAGCTGTAGCAACGGAAACTGCAGTAGGCCAAAGGACCCGGTGAGTAAGCCAGCAAACTACTCCACATAGAAGATAAGGTGGATAACAGCAAGCCTCAACAAATCTTCCTCGAAGATGAGCAACAAAAGTCTCAGTCATTTTGACTATACCTCTGTATCTCTACAAAGGGTCTTCAGTCAGCAAGTCATCCCAGCCCCTGAAAGGAAGAGAACAGTCCTTGTAAGTTGTAAAGCTCTCAGACAGAGGACATGGATGGCTCAGTAAAGCCCCTGTTCTAGGATACAGACAGCAAAAGAAACCAGCAATACAGTAATTACCATGGCCCAGCAGGTGAGAGCCGCAGTCAGCATCACCACCCCGAGTCTTCCCAGCATGATCATCAGGACTCCAGACGTCCCAGCAAACGAGTAGCAACCCAGCTGAACGGAAGACAAGCACCCTTTGGGAGGCCAAATTCCAGACAACTGATAGAGATGGCATTCCAGAATCTGCAGCATTCCAGCATGCAACAGACTGCAATAAATGGCACAGATCTCTCCCCAACAGACATCTTAGGAGAAGCCAGGGGAGAAAGTCATGCTCCTATAAAATGGAATCCCAGAATCCCTTCACTGTCCCACCCTCAAACCCCTCCCCATTGCCAGGGTGCTACGGCATAAGAGACAAAGGGGAATTCACAGTAGTAATAAAAAACATTTACTAAACACTTAGTACTGACCAGGTGCCTCATTCAATGCTACCCTTAATGTGAGTTCTGTATGTATACTATTCTTACATATACTTTTTTTTTTTTTTTTGAGACAGAGTTTTGTTCTTGTAGCCCAGGCTGGAGTGCAGTGGTGTGATGTCGGCTCACTGTAACCTCCACCTCCTGGCTCAAGTGATTCTCCTGTCTCAAGACTCACGAGTAGCTGGGATTAGAGGCATGTGCCATCATGCTGATTTTTTGTATTATTAGTAGAGATGGGGTTTCACCGTGTTGGCCAGGCTGGTCCTATCTCCTGACCTCAGGTGATCTACCTGCCTCAGCCTCCCAAATGGCTGGGATTACAGGCATGAGCCACCACGCCCGGCCACTTAGATATAAGCTTTTAAAAATCGATACTGCTAAAGCCTTGCTTAGATGGAAATTTGCAGCCTAAAATACATATTTTAGAAAAGAAGAAAGACTGGAAATTCAGTAAGCCTCTATCTCAACAAGTTAGAAAAAGAGGAACAGAGCTTCAGAAACCTGTGGCACATCATCAAACATATAATGTTATTATTTATTATTAACTATTGCTTTACACAGTTGTCTTTTAAATCATATAGGATAATAAAAGATTTACAAATAAAACCATATATTTATCCTGTCTTTATAGTTACCTGTGTAGTTACCTTTACCAGTTTTCTTCATTTCCCCATGTGGATTTAAGTGTCCTTTCATTTCAGCCTGAAGTATTCCCTTTAGTGTTTCCTATAGGGTGGATCTGCTGGAGATAAGTTCTTTTTTTTTTTTTGAGACGGAGTTTCGCTCTTGTTACCCAGGCTGGAGTGCAATGGCGCGATCTCGGCTCACCGCAACCTCTGCCTCCTGGGTTCAGGCAATTCTCCTGCCTCAGCCTCCTGAGTAGCTGGGATTACAGGCACACACCACCATGCCCAGCTAATTTTTTGTATTTTTAGTAGAGACGGGGTTTCACCATGTTGACCAGGATGGTCTTGATCTCTCGACCTTGTGATCCACCCGCCTCGGCCTCCCAAAGTGCTGGGATTACAGGCTTGAGCCACCGCGACCAGCCCATGGAGATAAGTTCTTTTGGTTTTTATTTTTTTTTTTTATTTTTTAATTTTTTTAGAAAAGTTACCTATCACCAGGCATGTGGGTGACAGAAGGAAAGTAAACTCTATGACGGGAGTGAGGGTTGGAGAGGATGACATTTCACTATAACTTTATTTTCTTTTTCTTTTTTTTTTTTAAAAAAAAAAAAAAAAAGGAAATACGCCAAAAAAAAAGTTGATGATTTGAAACTACGGACCACAAGTTTCTTTGTGTGTGTGTGTGTTAAGCATTATTATTATTTTTTTTTTTGAGAAAGAAAAAAATAATAAAAAGAATAAAGAAGAGGAAGAAAGAGAAAGAGGAAGAGGGAGAGAGGATGGGGGTATTGCTTTATTGCCCGGGCTAGAATGCAGTCTAAATATGGGTATGCCTATAATTGTCCTTAATAATGGAGACATAAAATAAAATGAGGGAAGAGAATAACAAACAAGGAGCCAACCAACATTTCGTTTAAACTTCTAAGTTGATATGATGTGGTACTGATAAGAGTGTATATTTTGTATATTTAAAGTGGAGAGTTCTATAAATGTTAATTACGTTTACTTGTTCCAGATCTGAGTTCAAGTCCTGGATATCGTTGTTAATTTTCTGTCTCATTGATCTGTCTAATATTAATGTTGAAGTCTCCGACTATTATTGTGTGGGAGTCTAAGTCTCTTTATTAGTCTTATATGTCTGGGTATTCCTGTATTGGGTGCGTACATATTTAGGATCTTTAGCTCTTCTTGTTGTTGCATTGATCCTTTTATCATTATATAATGTCCTTCTTTGCTTCTTTTGATCTTTGTTGCTTTAAAGACTATTTTATCAGAGGCAAAAATTGTGACTTCTGCTTTTTATTTATTTATTTTAACTCTCTGGTTGGTAAATCTTTCTCCATCCCTTGTTTTGAGTCTTTGTGTATCCTTGAATGTGAGAAGGGTCTGGATGCAGCATACTGATGGGTTTTAGTTTTTTATCTAAATTGTCTGTCTTTGGATTGGGGGATTTAGTCAATTTAAATTTAGAATTAACAATGATATATGTGAGTTTAATACTGCCATTTAATATTAGCTGGCTATTTTGCCCATTAGTTGATGTAAATTCTTCATTATATTGATGCTCTTTTTGGTATTTTTTAGAAAGGCTGATATTGTTTATTCCTTTCTATGTGTAGTGGTTCTTTCAGAAGCTCTTGTAAAGCAGGCCTGGTGGTGATGAAATCTCTGAGTGCTTGCTTGTTCACAAAAAACTTTACTTTTCCTTCACTTATGAAGCTTAGCTTGGCTGGATGTGAAATTCTGGGTTGAAAGTTCTTTTCTTTAAGGATGTTGAATATTGGTCCCCACTCTCTTCTGGCTTGTAGGGTTTCTGCTGAGAGATCTGCTGTAAGTCTGATAGGCTTCCCTTTGTGGGTAACCTGACCTTTCTCTCTGGCTGCCCTTAGTATTTTCTCCTTCATTTCAACCCTGGTGAATCTGACGATTATGTGCCTTGGAGTTGCTCTTCTTGAGGAATATCTTTGTGGTGTTCGCTGTATTACCTGGAGTTGAATATTATCTTGCCTTACTAGGTTGGGAAAATTTTCCTGAATAATATCCTGAAGCGTATTTTCCAGCTTGGATTCATTCTCTTCGTCACATTCAGGTACACCTATCAAGCGTAGATTAGGTCTTTTCACATAGTCCCATACTTCTTGGAGACTTTGCTCGTTCCTTTTTATCCTTTTTTCTCTAATCTTGTCTTCTAGTTTTATTTCATTGAGTTGGTCTTCGACCTCTGATATCCTTTCTTCTGCTTGATCAATTCGGTTGTTAAAACTTGTGCATACTTCATGTAGTTCTTGTATTGTGTTTTTCAACTCCATCAATTCACTTATATTCCTCTCTAAATTGTGTATTCTTGTTAACATTTCGTCAAACCTTTTTTCAAAGTTCTTAGTTTCTCTGGATTGTGTTAGAACAAGTTCTTTTAATTCACAGAAGTTTCTTATTATCCACATTTTGAAGCCTGCTTCTGTAATTGGAACACACTCGTTCTCCATCAAGCCTTGTTTCGTTGCTGATGAGGAACTGTGATCCCCTGCTGAGGGAGAGGCATTCTGATCTTGGGTATTCTCAGCCTTTTTTGGCTGTTTTCTTCCCTTCGTTGTAGATTTATCCATGTGGTCTTTATAATTACCGTCTTTGTAATTGGGTTTCTGAGTGGACGTCCAACTTATTGATTCTTAGCGCCTAAATCTGAGCAACCCACTGCGCCGACTAAATCAGCGGCGTTAAGATTGATGGTGCTTTTCTGACTCTGCACCAAGAACCAACGCTCCGAGGCGCCGGCAAAACCGCCTCGCCGGTCACAAGAGTCGCGCTGGCGACCCGTGGGGCTCCTCCGCTGGGAATCTCCTGGTGCGTGCGCAAAAAGAATTCATGTGAAGGTGTGGCGTCCTCTCCTTCTTTGCGCTTTCACTGGGAGCTACAATCCCGAGCTGCTAGTGATCAGCCATCTTGGATCTCTCTCCGGTTTTTATTAGTTTTGTTGGTCTGTCTACTTTCTCCTTCATTAGCTGGGATTACAGGCATGCACCACCACACCCAGCTAATTTTGTATTTTTAGTAGAGAGGGGTTCACCATGTTGGCCAGGCTGGTCTTGAACTTCTGACCTCAGGTGATTCACCCACCTCAGCATCCCAAAGTGCTGGGATTACAGGCGTGAGCCACTGCACCTGGCCTCTCTTTCATTTCCGAAGGATTGTGTTTATGGATATAGAATTCTTGGCTGGTGTTTTTTTTGTGTTAGCACTTTGAATATGTTATCCCACTGTTTTCTGGCCTCCATGTTTTCTGATGAGAATCTAGATGTTAATCTTACTGAGGATCATTTGTACTTAATGATTTGCATCTGTTTTGCTGCTTTCAAAATTCTCTCTTGGTCTTTGGCTTTTGACGGAGATTATGATGTGTATATGTGTGGATTTCTTTGAGTTTGTCCTACTTGTAGTTTGCTGAGTTGCTTGGATGTGAATGTTAACATTCTTCAAAAAATTTGAGATATTTTCAGCCATTATTTCTTCAAATATCTTTCTGCCTTTTTCTTTCTTCCTTCTCCTTCCTGGACTATCATTATTTTTATGTTGTTAAGCTTGATTATATCCCTCAGGCTTCCAGGGTTCTGTTCCTTTCTCTTTCTGCTCCTCGCACTGGATAATGTCAGCCTTTCTTCAAGTTCACTTGTTCTTTCTTCTGTGTGTTTAGCCTCTCCAGTGAATTTGTCATTTTAGTTATTGCACTTATCACCTCAAGAAGTTATATATATATTTTTTGAGATGAAGTTTTGCTCTGTCACCAGGCTGGAGTGCGGTGGCATGATATTGGCTCACTGCAACCTCCTGTCTCCTGGATTCAAGTGATTCCCCTGCCTCAGCCTCCTGAGTATCTGGAACTACAGGCATGTGCCACCATGCCTGGCTAATTTTTTATATTTTAGTAGAGACAGGGTTTCACCATGACCAGGATGGTCTCAATCTCTTGACCTTGTGATTTGCCCGCCTCAGCCTCCCAAAGTGCTGGGATTACAGGAGTGAGTCACTGTGCCCAGCCAGAAGTTATATTATTTTTAAAAAAATCATTTCTTTATGATGTTCTCTAGTTGTTCACACATCATTCTTATACTTTATTTCTTTAGACATAGTTTCTCTCTTTGAAAAAATATGTATACATGTATGTATGTCTATTTTTTAAAAATAAGGTCTCACTGTCCTTCAGGCTAGAATGCAGTGGCACAATCATAGCTCACTGTAGCCTAAACCTCCTGGGCTCAAGCAATTCTCCCACCTCAGCCTCCTGAGTAGCTAGAACTACAGGCACATGCCAGTATGCCCAGTAATTTTTAATTTTTTTGTAGTGATGGGGTCTCACTATGTTGTCCAGGCTGGTTTGTGTGTGTGTGTGTGTGTGTGTGTGTGTGTGTGTGTTTTTTTTTTTTGAGACAGAGTCTTGCTCTGTTCCCTGGCTGGAGTGCAGTGGCGCAATCTCAGGTCACTGCAACCTGTACCTCCCAGGTTCAAGTAATTCTCTTGCCTCAGCCTCCCAAGTATCTGGGACTACAGGTGCATGCAACCACACCCAGCTGATTTTTGTATTTTTAGTATAGACAGGGTTTCACCATGTTGGCCAGGATATCTCGATCTCTTGACCTTGTGATCTGCCTGCCTCGGCCTCCCAAAGTGCTGGGATTACAGGCGGGAGCCACCATGTGCAGCTCAGGCTGGTCTTGAACTCCTGGCCTCAAGTGATCCTTTTACCTCAGGCTCCCAAAGTGTTGGGATGACAGGCATGAGTCACCTGCCTGGCTCAAATATATTTTAAATGGCTGATTTAAAGTCTTTGTCTAGTAAGTCCAACATTGGAGCTTTCTTAGCAACAATTTCTATTGACTGGTGTGTGTGTGTGTGCAACGCGCACGTGCGCCAGATTTTCTTGGTTCTTTGCATGTGTTGTAATATTTTGTTGAAAACCGGATGCTTTAAGTAATATAACGTGGCAAGTTTGGAAATCAGATTCTCCCCCTCCCTGGGATTTGTTGTTGCTGCTATTCATTTGGTTAGTGATTTTTATCAACTAATTTTTTAACGTCTGTGTTCTTGGTAGTGTGTAACCATTGAAGACTTTTCCATTAGTTTAGTGGTCATCTAATGACTGGACATAGTTTTAAAATACTTAGAACCAATGCATCTTTCTGTCTTTGCTGAGGTATTCTGTATGTACTGAGCCATGCCTCCTAAGGTCAGGTGCAGTTTACAACTCTGCTTTAGATTTCATTTCTTGCTATTCAGAACCTTAAAGTCAGCCAAGGTGAGCACATATGGTCTTCTAAAGATTCTCCTGGACATGGTCTTCTAGATTCCCAGAAATATGCCAGAGCTTTTCAAAAGCTCCTTGGACATTCTATTCTCAGCTTTTTCTCTTAAGTTTTTTTTTGGTTAACTATTTGTTTGTCCTAAGTATTATCATTGCTTAAGGTGGTTGCAAATTTTAAAAATTGAAGCTGTTTGTTTTTGACAAATGCCCCAGGGAAAAAGTTCTCAGTGAGAGAACTCTCAGTCAGGTTAAAACAAAACAAAACAAAAAGCCAAAATGCAAGCCTGCTAGAAGAGGTCTCTAGGGAATTGCCAGGAAAGTCAAATAACAATCATTCTCTGAAAATGATGTTTTTGGGGACCTCCAAACCTGTTCTTGCCCATTTAGTGTCTTTCAGAAGGCTGGTTTCCATCAGGATTTCAGGACTGGTTTAATTTAAAGCTACAGCAGAGTTGGAGTAGGGAGAATGGGTATAGGGCAAGTTAAAAACACCACAAAGCTTGCTGTTCTTACTAAAATTTTAGATTCTGTGGACATTTGCTCACAATCTGAGTAAGAACAGAGGGAACCCATGGCATGAGTCATGTCATTTTGGGATGAGAAAATAGAATATCTGATATTTTTTTAAAAAGATTCTTATTAACCAAGAGAAATGTTTGCAAGCCAGGTTTTCTGCTGAGAATCATTTATTGAAGATAATAAATCAATGAATTTGATCCAGCCATTAGTAATTAAAGGGGCTATACTTGAAGAGGCAATCATTGTGTTTCACTTGGCCATCTGGAGATTCAGCAGATTTTATAATTCTTTGTGGTACGTTCAATAGTTTTCCTGCAAGAGAAGTGTCTACTTAGAGAAATCAAATTTGGGGAAGTTAAGAGGAAAAGTCCCCACATTGGTAACCACAACCGTAGTTCAGCAGGGGAAATGCTAGACAACTATTCTCTGAATTAAGGCAGGTTGGAGACATTCTAAAATGTCATTGGAGAAGAAAAAAGCAGAGTGGAAGTGGGTGGAAAAGAGGAAGGCAAAGGATGTGGATGTCTGGGTGAGCCTTTGGACCCCAGGAGAGCCTCTGGGAACTCCCACAGACGGTAGAGGCAGTGGAGTAAACATGAAGTCTGTAAGGAATACCTTCCACAGGGTCCTAGCAGAGGCCTGTTGGGGGATATGGGAGGCATAGAAGGTGGTGTTGAAGAACAGAGTCTAGGGGTTGACCCCCAAGCCCTGCCAGTTCCTAGCTCTGTGGGTTTAGGCAAGTCACCTGGCCTCTCTAGACCTCTGCTGCTTTGAATATGAAATGTAGCTAATAGCAATGCTTGCTTCATGGCAGGGCTACGAGGAACACAGGAGAAGAGATACAGGCAAAGCATATGATGCAGTGCAGGGCATGTGGCTGGCAAGCAGTGATAATCATTAGTCCTCCTGTCACAGATTTGTGTGTGTGTGTGTGTGTGTGTGTGTGTGTGTGTGTGTGTGTGATCCTATCAAAAGCAGAGTTTCTATGCTGCTTTGCTGAAGGGCTGTAGGGAGGAGCCACTATTCATTCATTCATTCACTCATTCTTCATTCCCCTTCTCCTCACACCAGAGCCAACCATTTCAATGAGTTCAATGTATATCTTTTTATGTTTATGACAGATATATAGTGTTTATTTTTAGTTTATATAATGCTGTCATGTTACTTGTGTTACTCTGTCCCTTGCTTTTCTTCTCAGTGCAGTATTTTAAGATCTATCCATATTGCTAATGGCACATCTAATTTCTTCTGAAAGCTGCATTGAAATCTATAAGGAATACCTTCCACAGTTTACCTATTGATTTCTTGACTAGTCTCACTCAGGCTGTCCCCAAACCTGCCACCTGCCACACTGAATAACCCTGCAGTAGACATACATGAGAAGCAATGAGAGTTTCTTTGTGATTTCGTAGGGTTGGAAATGCTGGACCATGAGATATGAATATACTGAATTTCTTACTTTGCCTAAAAATGGTAGATTGCTTCCCACAGTGTCTGTAACTGTCTTCACTGTCACCATAGAGCATGAGAGTACAGACATCTCTGTGTTCAACCAGCGCTGGCTATACCCAGCCTTCCGAGTTTTTTCTAGTATGATAGGCAGATAGGCATCTCATTGTTATTTTAATTTGAATTTGCCTGATTATTTATGAGCTTTTGAATATCCTTTATATAATTTGCCTTTTGTCTTTATTCTTCTATAATAAAACCATAGCCTTTGCCTGTTTGCTGTCTGTTTTCTTGTGGCTTGTTGGCATGTACACTCTGTCTTCTAGCTTATTGCAGTAGCTTCTCTAGTTCTGTTGGCTGTTTCCTCACTTCTCCATAGTGTCCTTCATTTATCAAAGATCTTAAATTCAACTAGAGTATTGATTGGGAATGAAATGAAGTTTTAGAACAGAGAAAACTAACACAGTCATAATATATTATAATCTGGAGCATAGACTGTCTCTCCATTTATTCATATGATCTTAAATATCCTTTGGTCAAATTTTAAGGTTTTCTCCTTTGAGGTTGCTAACACATCCAGCAGTATTTCAGAACCCCTACTCCCCATCCCCACCTTTTTTTTTGAGACAGAGTTTTGCTTTTGTTGCCCAGGCTGGAGTGCAATGGTGTGCGGATCTGCAACCTCTGCCTTGCGGGTTCTGGCGATTCTCCTGCCTTAGCTTTACCTCCCACTTTCTTTATTTTCTCTTCTATGTTGATTTCTCCCAGTCTTGTTGCCATGCCTCATAATGCAATAATGATCTCTATGGCTTCAGGTGAGTTCTTGCTTTGGATCTATAACTCTGAAGTCGGGGACCCAGTCTCTAGACCTGGGGCTCAAGCAAGTCCTGGCTCATTCACTCTCGGAATAACTATTCACATTCCAATTAGTGTCTTTCATTAGTATCCTAGATATTGGACATGAGAGGGAAGAGAAAGGGTGAAATAGATGTTCCTTACTGCTGAATTACAGGACCAAAATACATTTCTTTCTCCAGAATGTGTTATTTTTGGTTGGGAAGATTTGAATATGAAGTATGTATTAGAGGATGACAGTGAAATAGTAATTAGATATTATGAGTATGTAAGGAAATGTCCAAACTTATTAGAGAGGTGCTCTGAAGTATATAGGAGTGAATAATATGATGTCTGAGACCTGTGTTAATATACTTCATCCAAGAAAAAAAGAGAAATAAAAGAATAGAGGGAGGAAATGTGGCAAAACACTACAATTTATTGAATATACATGATAGGTATATGGGATATATTATTGTCTCTACTTTTATGTATGTTTGAAAATTTTCATAACAAAAAACTCTCAAAACAGTGAGCTCTTATCTTGTTTACTTCTAAAAATAAAAAATAAAAGTGTCTTTACTCACGCATGGTCCATCATACAGTTTAGTTATATTAAGCCCTTCAAATCTGAAAGAAATTATATTTTGAAATTATTTTTTGCTATATGGTAAGTAATACATTATGACTAAATTTTACTTGATAGTCTTTGGCTAAGTTTGGGAAATAAACATTCTGCTAATAGTGAATTCTTTTTTTTTTTTTTTAAATAATTAATTGTGTTTATTCATGGCTCTGGTCTCCAACTTAGAGCCTCCTTTCAGTGAGTGGTGCCACCTTTTGTGACTTTTTCTTACCATAAAATGCAACTGCCAAAGATGGCAGAGGTAGGTATCTGGCCTCCTGAGACCTTACTTGCCCAGCTTTCTTCAGTCCTAGGAGCTAACTTAGTTTTTGATGGTTCTTTGGTCGTGTTTTTAGAGAACAATATTTTTGGTTACAGCCCACATATCTTTTTTTTTTTTTTTGAGACAGAGTGTCGCTCTTGTTACCCAGGCTGGAGTGCAATGGCGCCATCTCGGCTCACCCGCAACCTCCGCCTCCTGGGTTCAGGCAATTCTCCTGCCTCCGCCTCCTGAGTAGCTGGGATTACAGGCACGCGCCACCATGCCCAGCTAATTTTTTGTATTTTTAGTAGAGACGGGGTTTCACCATGTTGACCAGGATGGTCTCGATCTCTCGACCTCGTGATCCACCCGCCTCGGCCTCCCAAAGTGCTGGGATTACAGGCTTGAGCCACCGCGCCCGGCCACGCCTTAGTGGATTTCTGTTTCTGCATTGTCTGAATAGGATCCATGTACCTTTTGAGGGCCCAGAGAGGGATGGAAGAAAGGGAGGAACAAATCCTGGAGGACTGTCTGGAGGGAGGATCTCACTGGATGATGTAGGAAGCGGGCCGAGGTCATCACCCTCTTTCGGCCACCTTTAGCCGCTTGACTTGAGAGAAGGGAGAACAGAATGAGGACTTACAGAATTTTCGAGCAGAGATGGCACTCACCACTGTAGGTAACCTGGTCACTGCCACAAATAGGTCCACTGGGCTTGATGTAGGATAAAAACCAGCAGCTATTTATATTCTTGAGGCACTCCACCTGAAGGAGACACACACAACTGCTTTAGACACTTTCATCCAGGTCTTTTGGCCATTATGATGGGTAGCTGGGGAGGTGGACGGAATAGGAGCACCAGACCAGGAGTTCAGAGAACAGGATTCAGAAGCCTCAGGGTTTGAACCCAACGGTAATACCAACAACATGTATATAATTGTAGAATAATATACAATCTGTAAACTCTCTAGTCCCCCATAAATTATTTATTAAGATAAAAATCCCTGCCCTCTGTAACCTAACAATCACATTTTTGTACCAACCACAAAATGTGGCTGTTAGGTTACAGAGAGCAAAAGTAGGGAAATGTCTTTCCAGGTTGAAATTTCTGATGAACATTGCTGAGTGACTTATCATACCTGGTGTCTCAGATGGCAGGGGCTCACACTTGTCACAGCAGGTTGAGGGAGTTGAAGGAAGAAGACGGAGAAAATACCTCGTAAGGCCTTGGTGTAGGAGAGGTAGGTGTATGTATGCCTGGCATATCATGGTGGAAAGAGTATCCACTGTGGCATGGGACCCACTTGAATCTGAGCCATGACATCCTCATCCATTTATTGGTGCAAAATATTTGCTTTCGACCCCACAGGTGAGTTATGTAAACTGATTGGGAGAATCCTTGAGAAGAAGGATCGGGAACATATAAAAGGTGCTACATATACTTGGTGACTCAGCTTTTATTGTTGTGTTATTCCCATGCAAGCCCCCTCTACTGCCCACCTCCCAGAAGAAAGAGCTGGGGCTGCTGGGGAAACTGGCTCTCTCCCCATTCCTGTTCTTGGGGACCAAGGGAGCAGTACTCACTGTTGTTTTGTCTGGCTGAGCTCTTTCAGAGGCCGGAGGAAGGGGGAAGTCTGGAAGACAAAAAGCATATACGGAAAAGTTGATTCTCTGTCTTCTTCCCTGAGGTAAAAAGGTAAGATGAGGGGAACCCTGGTTGGCGCACAGGAAGCATCAGATCCCATCAGAAGAGGCTGGGCTCCTCTTTGATGCAAGCTGCCCTCTAAAGGAACAAAGAGGCAGGAAGTACCCACCTTTATACACCTTGTAAAATGGAGATCTTAATTCTAGCCCTTCCATTTCGTAAGTAACCACTTCCATAATCCGTGCCAGTTATTTTTAGTAAACGTGCTCTAAGTTACAAATTATCATGAGTTATTACATTGAGATGCCCTAAAAGATGCTGAGTTTCATTAAGGCTTACATATTCAATCAAAGCAGTCTTTGCAATTATATATGTATATGAAAGTATATATTATAATCGCATGATGTAATTTTTATAATATATAATATGTATGATATGTAATCAACTCTCCTATGTATCAGCTTTCTTGAGTACAATTCACATATCATAGAATTTGACCAGATTAAAAAAAAAAAAATGTTTGGACCAGCTTGGTCAATGTGGCGAAACTGTCTCTACTGAAAATACAAAAATTAGCCAGGCATGGTGGCTGGAATGGATTGACATGATGTAGGCTCACTGAAGCTTCAACCACCTGGGCTCAAGTAGTCCTCCTGCTTCAGCCTCCCCAAGTGACCGGGACTTCGGTAGTGCACCACCACACCTGACTCATTTTCTTGACATTTTGGTGGAGCTGAGGTCTCACTGTTGTACAGGTTGGTCTCAAACTTTAAACAATTCTCCCACTTGGCTTCCCAATGTGCTGGGATTACAGATGTGAGCCACCGTGCCCAGGTGAGTTTACCTATTTTTACCAACACACAAAGAATGAGCATTTTTTTCTTTTTAAATAATTCACCTAAAGTGTACAGTTTAATGGTTTTTAGTATATTCACAGTTATGCCATCATCACCCCAAAAATAAACCCTGTAAAAAAAAACCCATCATCACCCCAAAAATAACCCTGTAGCAGTCATTTGTCATGCCCCTCTCCCAACAATTTCCCCTCCTACCCCACCCTCACCCCCCAAAAACAATAATCTACCTTCTGTTTTTTTCTTTTTTTCGTTTTTTTTTTTAGACAGAGTCTCACTCTGTCACCCAGGCTGGAGTGCAGTGGTGCCACGATCTCGGCTCATTGCAACTTCTGCCTCTTGGGTTCAAGGGATTCTGTCTCAGCCTCCCAAGTAGTTGTGACTACAGGCGCATGCCACCACACCTAGCTAATCTTTGTATTTTTAGTAGAGAGGGTTTCACTGTGTTGGCCAGGCTGGTCTCAAACTCCTGACCTCAGATGATCAACCTACCTTGGCCTCCCAAAGTTCTGGGATTACAGGCATGAGCCGCTGCTCCTGGCCTCAGCTTTCTGTTTCTTCAGATTTGCCTTCTGGACATTTCAAGAATGTCAGTGGACATTGGAGTCACGCAATGAAGTATGTGATATTTTGTGTGTCTGTGTTTTAATGTTTTAACTATATTGTAGCTTGTATTAGTACTCCATTCCTTTTTATAGCTAAATAATATTCAATGTATGTATATTACACATTTTATTTATCCATTAATCAGTTAATGGACATTTGAGTTGCTTTTACTTTTTTGCTATTATTAATAAAGCTGCTATGGATATTTATGCACACATTTTTTTTTTGGCATGTGTTTTCATTTCCCTTGAGTTTATACAAAGTGTGGAATTGCCAGTCATATTCAAACCATTTAAGAAGCTGCCAGGCTATTTTCCAAAGCAGCTGCATTTTACATTCCCATCAGCAATGCACGAAGGCTTCAGTTTCTTCACATCTTTGCTAACGTTTGTTATTGTCTCTCTTTTTGGTTATAGCCATCCTTGTAGGTGTGAAGTGGTATCTCTGTTTTGATTTGTTATGTTTTGTTTTGAGACAGAGTCTCGCTCTGTCACACAGGCTGGCGTGTAGTGGTGTGATCTCTGCTTACTGCAACTTTCAATTCCTGGGTTCAAGCAATTTTCGTGTTTCAGCCACCTGAGTAGCTGGGATTACAGGCGTACATCACCAATCCTGGCTAATTTTTGTATTTTTAGTACCTCAGGTCTCAAGACAATTCAGTGGATAATAATCTTTTTAAACTAATGCTACTAGGACAACTGGATATCAATAGCCAAACGAATAACTCTGGACCTTTTCCTTGCTCTCTCACTCTTTCTCTCTTCTGCTTCACCACGGTAGGATGTGCCTTGCTTCCCCTTCACCTTCCAGCATGATTGTAAGTTTCCTGAGGCTTCCCCAGCCATGCTGAACTGTGAGTCAATTAAACCTCTTTGTTTATAAATTAACTCAATCTCAGGCAATATCTTTATAGCAGTGTGAAAACAGACTAATACATTAAGCTAGGGTGAGGGCAATCAGGGCGCCATTACTCTCAGTCTGCCTTAGTCACCTGAGATAGAGCCTCAGTCTCACAGGTAGGAGATGGGTGAGAAAAGAGAGGACCCTGCCTCTTGGACTTGCTCTCCTGGAATTTAGCCACAGCAACACAGAGCTATGGAGGAATGAAAAATGTTGATGACCTGTCCTTCCCAGGGAAATATACCATTGTCCCCTGTAAGCTAGGGAGAGAGGAAAACTCATCTTGGCCATATCTGTCCAGAGTAGATCTTCCATCACACTGCATGGGGAAGGGGAGGGGAAAGATAGGCAGTGGCTTAAGTTCTATACATTCTCATTGTTCCTCCCTTTTGAAACATTTATAAAAATGTGTGGCCAGGGCTGGTGCAATGGTTTATGCCTGTAATCCTAGCATCCTAACACTTTGGGAGGACAAGGCTGGCAGATCACCTGAGGTCATTAGTTCAAGACCAGCCTGGGCAACATGGTGAAACACTGTCTCTACGAAAATACAAAAATCACCTGGGCATGATGGCTGGTGCCTGTAATCCCAGCTACTTGGGAGGCTGAGATGGGAGAATCACTTGAACTCGGGAGATGGTGGGTGCAGTGAGTGGAGATCTCGCCACTGCACTCCAGCCTGGGTGGCTCAGTGAAACTCCATCTCAAGCAAAAAAAAGTGTGGCCAGGCAAGGTGGCTCGTGCCTGTAATCTTAGCACTTTAGGAGGCCAAGGCGGTTGGATCACTTGAGGTCAGGTGTTCAAGACCAGCCTGGCCAACATGGTCAAACACTGTTTCTACTAAAAATTAGCCAAGCATGTTGGCACATGCTTATATTTCCAGGTACTTTGGAGGCTGAGGCGGGTGACTCACTTGAACCCAGGAGGCAGAGGTTGAAGTGAGCTGAGATCATACCACTGAATTCCAGTCTGGATAACACAGCAAGACTGTCTCAAAGAAAAATAGTGTGTTAATATTTGGTATGGACCATGATACCTATGTATGTTCCACCACTGATGTGTCCAGGGACCATTCCTGCCACATAACCAGTGTCTAGCCCAGTTACTGGCATAAGGTCAACACATAGTATATATTTATTGGATATGTAAATAAATGTGCGCTGAGGGCCAGGTGCAGTGGCTCACGCCTGTAATCCCAGCACTTTTGGGAGGCCAAGGCGGGTGGATCATGAGGTCGAGAGATTGAGATCATTCTGGCCAATATGGTGAAACACCATCTCTACTAAAATACAAAAATTAGCTGGGCGTGGTGGCGCGTGCCTGTAGTCTCAGCTGCTCAGGAGACTGAGGCAGGAGAATTGCGTGAACCCGAGAGGCAGAGTTTGCATTGAGCCAAGATCTCGCCACTGCACTCCAGCCTGGCAACAGGGCAAGACTGTCTCAAAAATAAATAAATAAATAAATAAATAAATAAAATAAAAGAAAGGGGTGCTGGGAAACCCAACATAGTAGTAAGGGCCACATCACAAAGGCTTTTGTGTTTATTACAGCAGAACTAAGATAAGATTTGCACTAAGATAAAATGACAACTATTGTAGCAGTGGTATGTGTGTTAGAGTAAGTCAAGTTAGAGGCAAAGAACAGTTAAGGAGAATATAAAAATATTTTCATGAAATGATGAGAATCCTCACTGAGGAAGTCATTGTTGTGGAAATGTGGAAAAGGCATGAATTTATATCATCTATGAAGTGTTCTATCAACTGAACTTAGTCACTGGATATCGGCATACAGGGGAGAAATAGGTCTGAGGAAAAAATATAAGGCCATACAACTATGAGAATAAGGAAAGGGTAATTTGCAAGAAAGACAGAGTGGGCTGGGCACAGTGGCTCACACCTGTAATCTCAGCACTTCGGGAGGCCGAGATGGGCAGATCACCTTAGGTCAGGAGTTCGAGACCAGGCTGACAAACATGGTGAAACACTGTCTCTACTAAAAATAAAAACATTAGTCAGTCATGGTGGAGTGCAGCTGTAGTCCCAGCTACTTGGGAGGCTGAGGCAGGAGAATTGCTTGAACCCGGGAGGCAGAGGTTGCAGTGAGCCAAGATCACGCCATTGCACTCTAGCTTGGTCAATAATATCGAAACTCTGTCTCAACAAAAAGAGGAAAGACAGAGTGGTCCACCTTGATTGAGTTATGGTGTGTTCCAGACAGAGGATGAGACTCAGCCACAAGGGAACACACTGGGCTTGCAGGGAGGCTGATGCCCATCGGTGATGTAGCAGTGGGGGTGAGGATTGAATGAAAGGTGAGGAAGTGTAGAAGTATACCTAGATTTGTCAACAGATTATTAAATTGGAGAGGGAAGGAAAGGAGAGAGACCAGGCTTATTTGTTTTTGCATGTAAGATATGAGAGTCATGAAAAGTAGTTTTCAACTTGTTATAGAACTCTCCTAAGACGTGAGAGGCTTGAAGAAAATGTTTTAAGTGAGACACAGTACCAATGGAAAGTAAGAGACTGAAGACAAGTATGAAAGAGTTGCAGAATCCAAACAGAAAAATAACATGTTGAGGCCTCCAGAGATTTTCTGCCGTTAACTCTAGCATGACTTTTGCTAAAGCCAGCCATTAACTGGAATAATATCTGAGTCTACTTCCACATAGCCTAATGAGGTTCTTTTTTTGATTCGAGATATATAAATACGCAAACTCTCAAAATGTACATTTCTGAGCTTAAATATCTTGGATAGTAACTTGGCATTTTGGAAAGTTCAATGGTCCTGGACTTAGATGGTTTGGATTAGACTTCCAGCTTTGATACTAATAACATTGCATGAATCCTTTCTCTGGGTTTTAATTTCTATATCTGTAACATGAGAAATTAGGATGAAATGAAACTGAAGAGCACTTCCACTTCCATCTCTAATTTTCCCGTGATTCTAGATTTATTGCAGAAAATGTGGGCAGAGCAAGGACACAGAACTCACCAATTGCAAAGGCCATCCACATGGAGATAGCTAGAATAGGGATGGCATCTGAGAAGGTCCCCTTCATGGTGACAGAAGAGCTGTGGAAATATGCAACTTTCGATGTAGGACAAACATCTATGTGAAGTACAAGTTCTCACAGAGATCCCGTATTGACCAGGAAATAAAGTCTAAATACTGTGTTCTTTCCTCGGGTCATTTGGAATGAATTGTGTCTGACGCAACTCAATTGCTTCATCCATTTCCCTAAAATCACTGGACGTCTGAAAAAGAAATCTTAAAAACAGAATTTTAGAAGATGCCAGAAAAAGAGTTAGCAAAGAATATTTGCAAGGGAAAGAATAAACACCAAGAGTTTTTCAACAAAATATTTAAAATGGCTGGGTGTGGTGGCTCATGCCTGTAATCCCAGCATTTTGGGAGGCCAAGGCAGGAGGATCACTTGAACTCAGGAGTTTGAGACCAGCCTGGGCAGCATAATCAGACCCCATCTCTGAAAGGCAGTCACTCAAAGACATGGGTAAGTCAATGGACAGTAAGAAACAGGAAGGGACAAAACACCAAAACCTCACTCCTATACTTGTCATCTTCCCTGGTGTTGTTACTTTGGTGTTAACACTTAGTAACCGGTAAAATTACTGAAAGGAAAATCATAGTATATTTACCAACAGCTTACTTGCATTCTGGAAAGTATTATAGTACATACCAGCTGACACTTTATTTGCTGGTTTCTATTCTCTTCATTCTACGCATTTTCCAGATAAACATTTTTCATTCTGTATCTAGGTAATTTCTACCCAAGACCTCCCCTAAGAAAAAAAACGAGTAATAAATAATACAATCCTTAAGAGTTTGCAAATTAAGAAGTCCACTTTACCTGCTGTGACTCCCACGGTTGCTCCGAGAAACTGGCTGAACAGGTTAGTTTTTGTTGATAATTTGTTTATAATGAACGAGCAAGGGAGGCAAAGTGTATTTGCCTTTTCAAGGTCCCAGTGCCTGGCAGTAGAAGAGAGTGAGCTTTGAAATTAGGAAGTGCAGATACGATTCAAACGTATTTCCTTCAACTCTAAATTCTGTAATGCCTACATTTTGTGAGTTCATATTGCAAATTTCTGAGGGTGGTATGCACTGTCTACTACTCCTCCAAAATCCAACTGCTGTTCTTGCCAAAGCTGAACCTACCATTTAGGCATATGTCATACACAATTTTTGATTTTCTATATTTTAATTTGCATGATAATTATTACACTGAAGGCAGCTTCAGGTATTGACATAATACTATAAATTACCGCATCTGCATGTGCAGTTATTTTATCAAGTGAAAAGTATTCACTTTATCAAAACATCTGCTTTAGATTATTTCTATATTGACTCATAGAGATTTTATTTATTTTTATTTCTTTAGAGACAGGGTCTTGCTCTGTTGTCCAGGCTGAAGGGCAGTGGTGTGATCACAACTCGCTGCAGCCTTAACTCCTAGCCTCAAGGAACCCTCTTGCTTGGCCTCCCAAAGCATTGGGATTACAAGTGTGAGCCACTGATCTGGTCTGATTCACAGGGTTTTAAAGTAGAAAATTACCTTATACAGAATCCTCCAAGTTCAGTCTCATTTAGCAGAGTTGAGAAACCTGGGGATAGACTGCTCATTCCCTTAAATGATAGCTCGTTCTACCATTTGAATAAAAATTTCTCAAAATGCTAACATGTTTTAAAGCTAAACTTCAGAAGTTATTGGATATCATAAATTCCTTAGGTCTAAGTCCTAAATGAATGGCCTTAACTGGGGACATGCCTATAGTTCTGGGGGATCAAGTATATTTTCTCAACTTGCTTTGATCAACCACAGTGTCTACCACGGTGGTCTTCGAAGTTTTTGCCTTTAATCCCTCTAAAATTTGGTGCTTGCTTATATGTTTTTTAAGTGATGTAAAATTTTTCAACAGAAGTTTTAATAGGCTGGGTGCTGTGGCTCATCCCTGTAATCTCAGCACTTTGGGAGGCTGAGGCAGCCAGATCACTTGAGGCCAGGAGTTTGAGACCAGCTTGGCCAACACGGTAAGACTCTGTCTCTACTAAAAATGCAAAAACTCAAAAACTAGCTGGGCGTGGTGGCACGTGCCTGTAATCCTAGCTACTCATGAGGCTGAGGCATGAGAATCACTTGAATCCGTGAGGCGGGGGTTGCAGTGAGCTGAGATCACGCCACTGCATTCTAGCCTGGGTGACAGGGTAAAACTCCACCTAAAGAAAAAAAAAAAAAAAAAAAAAAGAAAGAAATACGTGAGACTGGGTAATTTTTTAAAAAATCATTTCTTTTGAGACTGGGTAATTTATAAAGAGGAGGTTTAATTGGCTCATGGTTCCATAGACTGTTCTGACTTCTACTTTTGGGGAGGCCTCAGGAAACTTACAATCATGGCAGAAGGCAAAGCCGGAAGGGGGCATCTCACATGGCTAGAGCAGAAGGAAGAGAGAGAATGGGGAGGTGCTACACACCTTTAAACAACCAATATTGCAAGAACTTGATGTCAGGAGAACAATACCAAGGGGTACAGTGTTAAGCCATGAGAAACTGCCCCGTGATCTAATCACCTCCCACCAGGCCCCACCTCCAACACTGGGGATTACAATGTGACATGAGATTTGGTAAAACTAGCATAGACCAAATGGACCTAACAGACATTTATAGAATATTCCATCCAACGGCAGCAAAATACACATTCCTAACCACACATGGACGATTCTCCAGGATATATCATCGCATTAGGAGATAACAAGTGTTCTCTGCTGAGCTAACCTCAACAATGAAACTCCCTGACTCAGTACATGTTTTATTCCATTATTTGATTCCCTTATCTTGCTTTATAGATCTCAATTTCAGTGATCTCCACTGAAAATGTTATTGGGAATGTATTCATTCATTTGTTTAGTGATTATTTCCACCTTTAGATGAAGTGGTAAGCTCTGTAAAGGAGTAAACTCTGTGTTGTTACTCCTGTTCTAGGCATCTTCTCTTGAGGTTTGAGATTAGGACACCGGCCGGGTACAGTGGCTCACACCTGTAATCCCAGCACTTTGGGAGGCCAAGGCAGGCGGATCATAAGATCAGGAGCTTGACACCAGCCTGGCCAAGATGTTGAAACCCCATCTCTACTAAAAATACAAAAATCAGCCGGGTGTGGCGGTGCGCACCTGTAGTCCCAGCTACCTGGGCGGCTGAGGCAGAAGAATCTCTTGAACCCGGGAGGCAGAGGTTGCAGTGAGCCGAGATCATGCCATTGCACTCCAGCCTGGGCAACAAGAGTGAAATTCCCTCTCAAAAAAACAAAAAACAAAAAGTACAGCATAAATATGGGATAAAAGAAAAAATATTGCACCACTTGTAGAGGGCACCTATTATGAATGGAGCTTGCAGGACTGGAAGTTTCTCTAGGTGAGTCAGTGAGTGGCGGGTGAATGTGAAGGCTGAGGACATTACTGTATACTATGGTAAACTTTTTTATTTTTATTTTTTATTTTTTTTATTTTTAGAAAGAAAAAAAGAATAATAAGAAAAAGAATAAAGAAGAGGAAGAAAGAGAAAGAGGAAGAGGGAGAGAGAATGGGGGTATTGCTTTGTTGCCCGGGCTAGAATGCAGTCTAAATATGGGTATGCCTATAATTGTCCTTAATAATGGAGACATGAAATAAAATGAGGGAAGAGAATAACAAACAAGGAGCCAACCAACATTTCATTTAAACTTCTAAGTTGATATGATGTGGTACTGATAAGAGTGTATATTTTGTGTAAAGTGGAGAGTTCTATAAATGTTAATTACGTTTACTTGTTCCAGATCTGAGTTCAAGTACTGGATATCGTTGTTAGTTTTCTGTCTCATTGATCTGTCTAATATTAATGTTGAAGTCTCCCACTATTATTGTGTGGGAGTCTAAGTCTCTTTATAAGTCTTGTATGTCTGGGTATTCCTTTATTGGGTGCGTATATATTTAGGATCTTTAACTCTTCTTGTTGTTGCGTTGATTCTTTTATCATTATATAATGTCCTTCTTTGCTTCTTTTGATCTTTGTTGCTTTAAAGACTATTTTATCAGAGGCAAAAATTGTAACTTCTGCTTTTTATTTATTTATTTTTGCTCTCTGTTTGGTTGGTAAATCTTTCTCCATCCCTTGTTTTGAGTCTTTGTGAATCCTTGAATGTGAGATGGGTCTGGATGCAGCATACCAATGGGTTTTAGTTTTTTGTCCAAATTGCCTGTCTGTCTTTGAATTGGGGAATTTAGTCAATTTAAATTTAGAATTAATAATGATATATGTGAGTTTAATACTGCCATTTAATCTTAGCTGGCTATTTTGCCCATTAGTTGATGTAAAATATTCATTATATTGATGTTCTTTACTTTTTGGTATTTTTTAGAAAGGCTGATACTGTTTGTTCCTTTCTATGTGTAGTGGTTCTTTCAGAAGCTCTTGTAAAGCAGGCCTGGTGGTGATGAATTCTCTGAGTGCTTGCTTGTTCACAAAAAACTTTATTTTTCCTTCACTTATGAAGCTTAGTTTGGCTGGATGTGAAATTCTGGGTTGAAAGTTCTTTTCTTTAAGGATGTTGAATATTGGTCCCCACTCTCTTCTGGCTTGTAGGGTTTCTGCTGAGAGATCTGCTGTAAGTCTGATAGGCTTCCCTTTGTGGGTAACCTGACCTTTCTCTCTGGCTGCCCTTAGTATTTTCTCCTTCACTTCAACCCGGGTGAATCTGACGATTATGTGCCTTGGAGTTGCTCTTCTTGAGGAATATCTTTGTGGTGTTCTCTGTATTACCTGGAGTTGAATATTATCCTGCCTTACTAAGTTGGGAAAATTTTCCTGAGTAACATCCTGAAGCGTATTTTCCAGCTTGGATTCATTCTCTTCGTCACATTCAGGTACACCTATCAAGCGTAGATTAGGTCTTTTCACATAGTCCCATACTTCTTGGAGACTTTGCTCATTCCTTTTTATCCTTTTTTCTCTAATCTTGTCTTCTAGTTTTATTTCATTGAGTTGGTCTTCGACCTCTGATATCCTTTCTTCTGCTTGATCAATTCGGCTGTTAAAACTTGTGCATACTTCACGTAGTTCTCGTATTGTGTTTTTCAGCTCCATCAATTCACTTATTTTCCTCTCTAAATTTTGTATTCTTGTTGACATTTCGTGAAACCTTTTTTCAAAGTTCTTAGTTTCTTTAGATTGTGTTAGAACAAGTTCTTTTAATTCACAGAAGTTTCTCATTATCCACATTTTGAAGCCTGCTTCTGTAATTGGAACACACTCGTTCTCCATCAAGCCTTGTTTCGTTGCTGATGAGGAACTGTGATCCCCTGCTGAGGGAGAGGCGTTCTGATCTTGGGTATTCTCAGCCTTTTTTGACTGTTTTCTTCCCTTCGTTGTAGATTTATCCATCTGTGGTCTTTATAATTACCGTCTTTGTAATTGGGTTTCCGAGTGGACGTCCGACTTATTGATTCTCAGCGCCGAAATCAGAGCAACCCACTGCGCTGACTAAATCAACGGCGTTAAGATTGTTGGTGCTTTTCTGACTCTGCACCAAGAACCGACGCTCCAAAGCGCCGGCAAAACCGCCTCGCCGGTCACAAGAGTCGCGCTGGCGACCCGTGGGGCTCCTCCGCTGGGAATCTCCTGGTGCGTGAGCAACAAGAATTCATGTGAAGGTGTGGCGTCCTCTCGTTCTTTGCGTTTTCACTGGCAGCTACAATCCCGAGCTGCTTGTGATCAGCCATCTTGGATCTCTCCTGTATACTATGGTAAACTTAACACTGAACACTGAGGCTATACTCATTTAAAATTTTTTTTCTTCAATGATAAATTAACCTTAACTTACTTTAACTTTTTACTTTATAAACTTTTTAAAAACCTTTTTTTCTATTTTGTAGTAACAGTAAGCTTAAAACACACATTGTATGACTGTACAAAAATATTTTCTTTATATCCTTATAGATAA